AAGTAAAAAGCAACTTGCAGAATCCCTTTAAAAAATAAATAAAACTATACATATGTATTTTCATTCTTTTGAGGTACATCTTCAGGGTAAATTCCTAGAAGTGGGATCACTGGGTTGAAAGTAGAAGCATATGGAGTTGTGTTCTATACTGCCGATTTCCTCTTCATGAGGGTTGTGTCATTACGCCACCAACGTAGGAGATGACTTGTTTTCCCACAGCTTTGCCAACCGAATTTATATTCAAGTTCTGAATTTTTGCCCATTTATTGGGTGAAAAATTGTATCTCAATGTAGTTTTTAACTTTTTGAGTATAGTTGACACAAACACAAGAGTACATGTTTTGGGTGTACAGCACAGTGACTTGACATCTCTAGGCATCTTTATTTTTTAAAGTAAACTCTATGCCCAGCGTGGAGCTCGAACTCATGACCCTGAGATCCAGTCCGTGCTCTACCAACTGAGCCAGCCAGGTGCCTCTCAATGTAGTTTTAATTTGCATTTCTCTTACTGAGTGAAGGTGAACAACTATACATGGTTAAGAGCCATTTTTAAAATCTTTTTGGGTCTATTCATGTCCTCTCTCAAAACTAAACCTTTTTATACATTAGGAGTATTAGTCTTTTATTTGTGACATATGGGCAAATATTTCTTCCCAGTTTGTCATTTGTATTTTTTTTGTCATGCAAAAGGTTTTTAGTGTATTCAAATCCAGCATTTTTTGTTCATTTGTTTCTTTTCTTTTTTCCTGATATTGGGTGGCTTTTCACTTTCTCAGATGCTTTTGAAAGGATATGTCTTTTCTTTAGCTTTGTGGTTGTTGGGGGGACTTTTCACCAGCAGAAAGTCTTTGGCATTTTCTGACTTCTCGTAGAATGTGGATGGCTGTACTCTATTCCAAGTAATTTCATGGACAGAATTGTCAGCTTCAGAACCCTTATCTTTCAGTTCCACCCTCTTTCGTGCAGTTGAAGGATTTTGCCGCAGGGTGGGAAGAAAGGTTGACGCACTTTCTCTTTTCTGTCAGTCGTACATTTCCGCCTTCTCTTTCATTACCTCTTCATTACCCATTCTCCCCCAGGAACACGGCTTCTGAGGCTGCTACCCTGGCTCTATCCATTTTCAAACCTTTCCCTAAAGCAATGACTGTGACCTACTGAGTGCCAAACTGTGTTCAGTATTTTGTATTTATTGTTCCATTTTCCCCCCCTGTAGATTCTGTTAATGCTTCTTCTAAATGCACGCCTCCCTTCTGTCTCATGGAGTGATTCAGCTCCTTTCCTCACTCTCTACACCTACAGGCTTATGGTGGTAGCAGGATCCTTACTGGATCCCCTGCTCTGTCCACCCCCTGCCCCCCACCACTACTTGGAGGTGATTTGAAGTTACAGGCTTCTAGTAGTGAAGGCATGAACCCTGTGTAGTTTTTATTTGTTCTGGTCGATTTGAGAGTTGTTTTGGCAAAGTGAGGGGCAGATTTGTAATCAGGCTACTGCCATTGCTTTTCAGCCCCAGGAGTCTCAACATGCTTAGTAGAGGGATACATTTCAAGACCTAGTCATGATGAAAGTCATTGAAAACCAGCAATATACATGTATCTTCATTGAGTATCAGTGGTTATAAGTGGTAGTTGAAGTGGGAGTTGAGTGTTAGGGTTGGCATCAAGATTAGCAAGGGCGACATGCCATGTAACAGTGGCTTGAGACTTTATCAAGTTGAAAGTTTGAGAACGTTTAAGCATTTTCTTTAAGACTGGGGGCAAGACAGTGAGTGCTTGCTACTGTAAGGCTGCTACTGCTCAATGTAATATTGGTGGTCCTGGCCATAGCAGTTAAAAAGGGCAAAACGAAATGAGGTATAACAGCATTAAAAAGGAATAAATATCATTTGAAGATAGTATAATCTTAAATAGAAACCCTACAAACTCTTAGGTAAGAAAGTTCACAAAGTTGAATGCAAGATCAATGGCCAAAAAGCAGGAATTTCTTTACTGCAGTGTGGCAGGGGCTCTTGGCTGTCCAACCAACAGCCATTCCCCCTTCTTTGCTCACAAAATCTGTTTCTTTGTGTACGACATCAGGAGATAAGTCATGATTTATCTAAACCAGTCATAGCAAACCCATTCTGTTTTACCAGATTCTAAATGTACCAGCATCCCCCGAAGCTGGGGATGATTCTATGACCAAGTCCTGGCCAGTAATGTGTGAGCAAAAGTCTGCCAAGTTGATCCTGGGAGTTTCCACTTTTTGCAAATTTCTGGTTTCTTTAAGCCTTGGTTTCCTCTTGTGTCAGATAATACATGCCTTACCTTTTAAGACAGTGAAGATGAAGTGAAATATTCTCATATCAAAGTGATCCATAAATGCGAAATAAAAAGTAAGTAAATGCTAGTGTTATTCAAGATATTCAAATGATTATGAGCACAGATGTAGCATTGGTATAAATGCTACAGACTGGCAGTTAAGTTTAAGGAGTGCCATTATATACAAGGAAATCCCTTTACCCAATCAAGTCTTATTATTAAAAAACTAAGAACTGATGAATTTTTTATGTAGCACCTGGCCCAGTGATTTAACTCACAGAAGACTAAGAATCTAGCACCACAGAGAACATGTGATTTGCAGATGGTTACATCTCTACAGCTGTTAAGTTCTAGATGAGGAGTTGCCAAATATAAAATGTCAGATCATATATACAGTATAATCTATACTACATGTATATATATTTAAAAATATACACATGTATATTTTTATATACATGTGCCTGGGTGGCTCAGTGGGTTGGGCCTCTGCCTTCGGCTCGGGTCATGATCTCAGCATCCTGGGATCAAGCCCCACGTCTGGCTCTCTGCTCAGGGGGATCCTGCTTCCCCACCCCCTGCCTGCCTCTCTGCCTACTTGTGATCTCTGTTAAATAAATTAAAAAATCTTTAAAAAAATTATACACACAAATACATATAGTAACTATTGATGCTTTATAGGCCACATAGTCCTTGAAGCGAGAATGCAGCCATGGACATGTAAACAAACAGGCATGGCTGTTCTAATAAAAGGAAACAGGCAATGAGCCATTTGGCCTGCAGGCCATAGACAATCCTCGTTCTAGACTCAAAAGTTTACTGTTTTACAGTAAACTTGTCTCACAGGATCATGGATCATGTCTTGGGATCAACCTAATCAACTTTCCATGACATCATCTCAATCCTATTATTACCATTGTATTATTATTACCACAGTGCAACCAAAGCGCTTTCATGGTGATTTATCACATTTGATCCTCAGTCTTCTGTGAGCTAAGAAGGGTAGATCTCATCTTCTTTGTATTGATCAGAAAAAGGCTTAAACTATTTAAGGTCACAGAGCTACTGAGGGGCAAAATCTCTATCTCCTAGAGAGCTGTTTAGTGTTTTTTAAAAATATAGGACTAGAAACCTTAATTCTACTTCATTGTTCTTCTTAGCTTCTACTGTTAATCCTTTTCTTATTTAAACTCCTGTGAAGCATTATGCATTTTTAAGGACTTGAGTTTACTCCTTAAATGTAGCTTTTAGCGTCAAATTGAAAATTCTATTTTGGCGGTACTGAATATAAAAAGAATGGTTGTGATAGGAGAAGAAATTGGTAGTAAAAAATTTAACTTTGTTTTCTAACTTAAAGCAAATTGTAGTCATTGAAGGAGGGATAACACACTTTCAATTTTAGTGTGAGGAGAAAAACAGAGAGGCAGGATATAGATTGAACCACCATCAAAGGACTATGCTTATGCTAGATCTGAACCTACAGTTGATACTAAAATTTCCTCTGTAAAACCCAAACTTTTATGTTACGCTATAGCAGATAACTTAAAAACAGAGAGGACACCGAATAGTCAACATGAGACATGATTTGAAACTGCCAGAGGAAGTCCTCTTTTTTGAAATACCCTAATGCCCAACTGTCCAGCTATATTACCTAATACCCGAAGCCTTTTCCTTTTCTATAAAATGGAATATCACCTAGTTTATAGGGTTGAAGAACTGAAAATACTATGGGCAGATCAAGTAACACAGTACATATGACAAGATTTCATTAAATGCAGCTCATTAGCCAAGTTTGCACTTATAAAGAAAAAGAAAGCTTACACTGAACCATTAATTAGCAGATAAACAAGCCAAAGATTGCTTCCTGTTTACACTTCTACTATTTATCCCTGTCCAACTGACAGTAAATGGCAGGTCCTAGGGAAGATTATAAAGCCTGTCGTTCGCAATGATCTGCCCAACTCATCCCACTTCATGTGTCTTCTCGATTTCTACCCCTTCTTCAAGTCTGAACAAAACCATTCAGCTCTCTATACTTTATCCAAGATAACCAGACCAGGGTAAAATTTAGTTTCTACATTCTACTTCTCTCAGGATATTCTTTCTTGGGATGCCGGGGTGGCTCAGTTGATTAAGCATCTGCCTTTGGCTCAAGTCGTGATCCCAGAATCCTGGGATCCAGTCCCGAGTCAGGCTCCTTGCTCAGGAGGGAGCCTGCTTCTCTCTCTGCCTACTGCTCCTCCTGCTTACGTGCTCTCTCTGAGAAATAAGTAAATAAAATCTAAAGAAAAAAAATTTTTCTTTCTTGATTTTTAAAATACTCTAATTGAAACAAAAAAGCTTTGTGTCACTTTTAAATACATTTCAGAAATCATATGATTAAAGAATAAGCAGGTGACTTGCAAAGTAGCAGCTGCTGGCAAGAGGCTTCTGTAGTTTGAAGAAAAATATATTCTAAAAATTACATTTTTGTCACAATATTTATCTGGAAATTCCAAATAATACTAAAAAACGATGTGAGTTTTTTTTTTTTTAAAGTGTATGTATGTATTGGAAGAGGGTCTAAGTTTAAAAAAAAATTAGAGAAACACTGCCTTAGACTTGTGGAGTGTAAAACTGTTAATTTTTCACTATTTTGCTGTGCCTTACTATAAAAATACAGATGGCACAGCTGTTACGTAGCTTCAACAACTTGATTATAAATTGCTTTCAAAAGTAATTTATTGGGATTTTCCGTATCCTTTAATGAATTGCAAATATATTAACAGAAAAGGCTTTCTCCCCGCCCCCAAGGACTGTACAATTTCTGAAATAAGTCAGGAAAAGCAAAAAAAAAAAAAAAAAAAAAAAAAAGACACAAAATTACATTGTTTCAATGCAAATAGAACACACACATCACACCCACACTTGCATTTTCCTGGATTTTCACAAAGAAAATGGTTCACCATATTTCTCAGTGAAGACCCATACTATATTCTGGCTAATCAGAGACTTCCAAACTTTTTTCTTCAAAAAGAGCATTTTTAATAGACTAAATACTGGTTATCACTGAGTTTTTGTTTAAGGTACAACAGCAGCATGGTTCAAATGTAACTTGCAGTTCTTGGAAAAAAACAAAAATTTTAAAATAATGAAATACAGAAAAAGTAGGGACCACCTTTCATTATTTTGAGTACCATTGTTCACTTGAAAAAATATTTCCAACCTTCTAAAATCCCAAAGTTAAGAACCATTTCCAAGGGGGAAAAATATCCAATGCCACAACATAACTTCCAAACAAGTGTGTGTGTGTGTACACATATATGTATGTGTATGAAAAGCTTAAAGAGACTAAAAAAGATGTTATTCGTAGTATTTTAAATTTCCTTCAAAGTAACTACTGAAATTTCAAGCAAACATTTTGCTTGATCAAAATGTATGTCCTTTTCTGTTTATTTGATCCTCATTCCAGGCCAAAAAAAAGAAAAAAAAAAAAAAAAGGCAAGCAAGCAAGCCAAAAACAGTTACTAGGTGGGAATACGGTTTCAAATACCTAAACGTTTTTAAAGTAGGTATGAGGAAAATGAAATCAGGCTAAGCTTGGGCTGAGCATCCCATAGCCAGCCATTGCCATGGTGTGCCTTCCACAACTATCCTTTTATCCTTGGTCTCAAAATTAGTACCAGAAAGGTTCTCACCTCTGGCACAGGACATAAATTCCTACTTTGTACAAAAAGATAATTATACATTAGCAAATTATGTTCTAGTTCAGCTTTCTCCAGGCTTTGTAATAGAGCTCAGGTTGAAGCTTTCTATGAAATTTTGTATTTTATAATGTTATATAGCTGGCTTATGATTTGCCAATTAAAAAAATAAAGGAATATAAAATTAAATATTACAGAACTAATGAATAAAATGGAATATTTGTTAGAATCCAAGTGCTAGCCTTTGGGAACTTTAATGATATTCATTTACTCCCAACCTTTCCTTTTTCTTATAAATTATTTCTTTAAGCAGCACATATTACATGGATTTAGGTAAGAAATTTTGTTAAATCTCTCTCTGGCACCCAATACCTAATCTAGGACTCTGACTTGAATTAATTTATGATGGTATTTAATCCACATTCAAATGAACAGATTAACAGTAAATGATAGGAAGTTACTGAATCTACAGGTTAAAATTTTGTTCACATCTTCTGTAATCCACCTTATTTTTACAACTTGACTAACAGGTACAGGTAACCAGTAGATAAATTTGTCCTTCATCAAATAATCCAAAATAATAACCGTAGGCCTGTCATTCATAAGAAACTATAATTTGTTATATTCTGACATTGGCACTTAAAAAAAAGTTAACAACTAAAGTTTCTCTAAAAATTTCAATACATTACAATAAAGGAGATACACAATTTAAGACTTTAAATCTGTTACTGTGAAATTCCAATAATTCCCATTTTATTATGCATAATTAGATCTTTAAAATTGTGGCCATTCCCCGAAGACACCAATTTATGAGAAACTCAGGAGAGAACTCACCTCCTTCATAAGAATGGGGTTTTTCTTTTGCAGCTAAAAATCTCTAATAGCCTAAACCCAATCACTCTCGGTAAACGTTTTGGTGACTCACGCTACTGAAAATAATTTGAAGCAGAGAGCCGGAAAGAATGGAAATGACCTCAACCAAAGGTAACTACACATTCTTGCACCCTGCTTAAACACTTAGAAAAGTCAAAGGGATACTTTCTTGAACAAATATAGATTCAAGGTTATGGTACAATTTTGATTGTATTAAGGCTTTCACTATCATGATCTCTTAAAGTCTCTCCACTTTAGTGTTCTCATTTTGATTCTTATGGTGAACTTAAATGGCTATTAAGGGCCTTGTTTTGGCTTTTCAGTGGGCAAACACTCTACCATCTCTGAATGTTAAAGGTGATCCCACAGAGCTCAAAGAGAAGAGGCAATATGGTAAAGGGACAACTTTAAAGTTTGCAATACCAAGACAATGATCAACACTTTGAAGCAAGATGAATAAATTAAAATTCTTGGTTAGACATTAAAGCATTCTTGCCAAGAATAAGTGTACACTGTATGGAGGGATATTTGATTCCTACACATGAGTCCCAATGTGCCCATTACATTTGCTTATGGGAGACACTGCAAGTTTAAGGTAATTTACATTCCTTGGCAATCAAGTTACTCTGTTATAGGCAATGTCTTTTTATTGTTCCATCTGGCACTTGCTAACACCATTCTTGAAGAACCTAGAAATGAAGGTCAGTCACTCTGTTAATCAGGAACAGAACCAAATAAAAACAAATTTTTGGAAAAACGACCAAGAAATTCTGGTTCATCACTATTTTCCGTATCTAATGGTTCCTTCAAGATAAAACATAACTCTTCCTTCCATGATAGCTTTCCAACAAAGGGAGATTAAAGAAAAAAAAAAAAGAAAAGAAAACAAAGTTCCCCATCCTACCCCCCTAAATTGTCATTCATACTGGTGAAAGAGCCAGTCTTGTTAGCAGCTAAATATTGCACTGCCTTTCATTCTGTGTACAGTCAGGGTCCAATGAAAGTGGCACACTCATGGTATAAGTGATAGATGATGACACTGCCGGCTCAAGAGTGAAGACTCAGTATATGGAGGGACAAGAAACATGTCAGCACTAGTCACACATCCAGTTGCAAAAGTCTGATTTCCAGAAGTTAAAATTCATCACTTTCAGCTGCATGAAGTTGTGTGTCATCTGCATCTGTCATGCTGCTCTCCTGGGATTCATCTGTTCCCACTTTAAAAACAAAAATAAAAGTCTACAGTAAGGTATCTGACAAATATTTCTTCTTGGTTCATGAAAACAAGTAAGGAAAACTATTCCATGCAGAGAGAGATCTTAAATTAAGTCCCTTAAAAATCCTGATATCCTTCAATAAAATGCAACTCAGGTTCCTTATTTTACAGCATGTCTGAGAAGATCAGTTCATTGCATTTAACCTTTAAGAGTTTTAAATATTAAAGCTGCCTCTCCCTAATGAATTCCTTATTCCTACCCTAGGAATTAGAGCTAATTTTCAAGACACTGAAAAAAGACTGACATTCTCTCCAACTGTTGACTCTACTTTGGGAACAGTCCCTGCTAGTTCACAGAAATATAAAATACACCCTCAGTTTAAAAAGGGTTATTGGGATTACAGGAATTATGATTTTAATTAAGGCCTTCTGCCAAGTTTTCTGGAACAAAGGCGTCTTAGTTCATCTCATCAGAAGTTTCTCAATTCTCTTGTTATTAAAAATACTGTTATGGGCGTCTTAGGTGGCAGTCAATTGAGTGACCCACTCTTGGGTTCAGTTCAGGTCGTGATCTCAGTCAGCGATGTGAGATCAAGCCCTGCATCCAGCTCCATGCTAGGTGTAGACTTGCTTAAGATTCTCTCTCTCCCTCTGCCCCTTCTCCCGACTCCCCCCCCCCCCCCCCCCCCAGCCTTAAAAAAAAAAAACAAAACAAAAAAAAACAAACCTTAAAAAAGGACTCAGTTCTCACTAGTTATTTTAAGATATACACTTAAGTTAGGAGTGCCTCAGTCAGTTGAGCATCTGACTCTTGGTTTCAGCTCAGGTCATGAGCTCATGGTTCCTGGGACAGAGCCCCATGCAGGGCTCCACGCTCAGTGGGGAGTCTGCTTGAAGATTCTCTCCCTCTACCCCTTCCCCCACTTGCATGCTCTCTCAAATAAAAAAATTTAAAGAAAAATCTTAAAAAAAAAGATACGCACTCAATTTAGGGATAGAGTATTTACTACTGCTTTAAACTACTTCTTTGTTCACTCTTCTTTTCTTGACCCTTCAATTTATATACATTAGCTGTATTTTTAGATTTTGAATTTGCTAGAGTTTCAGAGAATTTGAATAGTCATACTGCAGATCTGTCAATACTTTTTAATGTGAATGAATTTATTTTTCATTCACTTAGCACTTACAATGTCTTCAACATACTATCACATCTATCATTCCCATCCCACCCCGCATTCCTATGAGGCAGGTAAGGCAGGCATTAGTTACGTATTTAAACCTAAACTGAGGTCCTAGGAAAAACTTGCAATGGATTTATCAAAGTCACACAGCAAATTAGATCCAAAATGATTAGTTACCTGACACCACATGCACTTGTTAACATATTGCCCTATTTAATTTCTCTAAAATTCCATTTAGTATAAAAAAAAATACCATGGTTAAAAAAATAAAAAGCAGCCTACACAACCTTATGCAAAGGTAGCTCTCTGAATATTTAGTACTCAAGAAAATTTCCATGTTTATTCTAGGTCATAAATAAAAATCTGTTCCCCTTTGCCTAGCTCTGAGGTGATGTTTCATTAGCTCTCTGGTTTGATACACATACAAACCTGGTTCTTATGGATGATACTCACTGATCTGTTCTTCTTGGGTTATTGGCTCCTCATCATCTGGAAGGTAGCGCTTATCAATTGCCTCTTTAATCTGGTTATTGGCTCCTTTAGGATCTAAATCCATAGCCCAAGAGAAATTCATCAGGGCGAGGTGCGTTTGACCTAACTTCTTGTAAACCTAAAAATAAACAGCAGCACTACATTTTTCATTAAGTTGTGAGCTTCAATTATAAAATCCTATACATTAGTAATTTAAATAGGCTTCTGATTTACATGCTACAAACCCATTCTGATAAGTAGGCCATTTTCATTCTATAGAAAAACTCAAGACTAACCTGAGTTCCTTATAATATATTCAGATATTTTCAGAATTCCTTGCCTCTGATAGTGAGCTTCCAATAAATCATACTTTGACTGGATCAATGACAACTAAAAGAAATGGACTATAAGCTGCTTGATTAGCATTTATTTACACTGATTTTAACGGCTGTTATATCAACTCTCAACACCTGTCCACTGTTCCCAGTTACCTTAACCAGTTGGCATCTAGTGGCCAAGTCTATAAAGTCTTGACTAGTCTGTCTTAGAAATCTTGGAAGCCAGTTCTTCTCATTAAGACAACACAGAACCATTAATTTTCTTCTTTTGGGGGATGCCTATGTATTTTGTTGATCATTGGAGGCTAAGAGCTTTCCAAGATACAATCTCAGTTATGAACTCAGGACTGCCACTGGCTGTTAAGTGTTAATACATTTCCAAAACTACAGTATGTTTAGGATTATGGAGTGTGTGTTCTTGCTCCTACATCAGGATATCATCTTCTTAAATGTTTTAACTTAATTCATTCTTTATTCCCAGAGCATTTAGTTCAGAGCTCTAGCTGAATTTGCTCAACAGATGTTGCACCATATGTATTATATTTCTTCTTCAGAAGTTATATTTGTTATCAAAGTCACAGTTTAGGACCATGGCCCCAATCTTTACCTTTCCTATTAAGAAGTAAACGAGGGATTCTTTGGGAACAATTTGTTTCAATTCTTCAAGTTCTTGTAAAGCAGACTGAAAAAAGCAAAGAAAAACAGAGTAGCAAAATTTTACAAAGTTCTAATTAAACAAGTATCTTTATTTGATTTCCCAAGTCATCTTACCTAAAGCTTATACTAGATCTTAATCAATGCACTTCCTTACTGCATTAGTTCTTGTGAAAATAAAACGGATGAAAATACTATGAGAACAGGAACTAAGAAATGGCAGGAATTCACCAGAGTACACTGAGAATACACACATGCAGGTGACAATGCTTGCTTTTGCCACCATTTTATTTAAAATAACAATACTCCATTACACTGTGTAAAAGCATTTTGAAAACTAAGTTGCAGAATAAAACAATTTTGAAGTTCTTTTTTTTTTTTAAAGATTTTATTTATTTATTTGACAGAGATTACAAGTAGGCAGAGAGGCAGGCAGAGAGAGAGGAGGAAGCAGGCTCCCTGCTGAGCAGAGAGCCCAATGTAGGGCTCGATCCCAGGACTCTGAGATCATGACCTGAGCCGAAGGCAGGGGCTTTAACCCACTGAGCCACCCAGGCACCCCAACAATTTTGAAGTTCTGTTAATAAGCCTTTTCCCTGATGCAAACACTAAGCTTTGAATACCAACCTGTCATTTTAACTAATGATGAAGAGTCTAAAATTTAACCCTCTGAATTAAGTCAAAACTGTTTAGAAATCTTTTGACCATTGTAGAAGGGCTGGGGAAATTGAGAGAAAAGATAGAGAAATAGATTTTCATTTAAAAGACATGACGATCAAAAATGAAACTGGTTCCCCAAATGAGATATTGTCCATTTTTCACCTGGCAAATGGACAAAAATAAAAATAACTTGATGTTGCATAAAGTTACCATGAGAGAGAGGAATCAGGCATTCTCACCACTGAAGGTGGAATTGTAAACTGATGCAAGCTGTTTGTGAGGACAATTTAGCACTACCTATTAAGTTAAAAACTGCACCACGGATTCAGCAATCTCGCTGCTAGGCATTTATCTCAGGGATATATTAAAAAAAGTTCACTAAATCATTTTTGTAAGAATATTCAATCCACCATGCTGCTGCAAATCACTGCCAGGTGTGTCTAATCACAGCCTAGCTAAATAAATTGTGGTCCGTCCTCTATGGGACACTACATCTGTAGGTGCTCAACCATATGCTCAACCATATGTTAAAAGAATTGAAAAAAACAAAAAAAAAAAGCGAGATGCAAAAGAGTACGTGCAAAAATATTATTTCTTCCGTAACAAAATATATATCACACATATACAAACAGTTATGTGGGTATTCCCATGTTTTATATTTATGTGAGCATATATATAAATTTTTCTTTTTTTCTGGCAGAAATCAATACATATATGCCCCATATATATGGCTGACTCTTGGGGAGGGAGTGATTGAGGTAAAAGGGGAGAAGGGACCTTCTATTTTTCCCTTGGTAGCTTTCTTTATTTTTTGAATTTTCTAACATAAATATATTTCTCTTTAATGTCCACAGAGGTTATATACTTTTCTTCTCTATGCCTCTTTGTAGTAAAAACAAAATCCAATATAAGTTAGGTTTAAAAAAAAAAAGGTAAGTATCAAATATCTCTCCATAGGAGTGTTAAAGTGAAAAAAGCAAGTTATAGAACAGTATGTGAAAAATTACCACAGTTATGACAGCTTAAAACAAGACACATTTTTTAAATCTTGCAGTCTGTGCATTAGAAGTCTAATATGAGTCTCACTGGGCTAAAATCAAGGTGCCTTCCTTTCTGGAGGGTACCTACTTCCCTGCCTTTCTTGGCATCTAGAGGCTACCCACAGTTTTTGGCTTGTAGCGTCCTTACTCCAACTTCAAAGGCTACAAAGGCTGGTTGAGTCTTTCTCATGCTGGTTCCAACTAGAGCTGGGAAAGATACTCCAATTTTAAGATTCATGTGATTAGACTAGGACCACCTCAATAAGGCAGGATACTCTCCCCAACTCAAGGTCCGTATCCTTAATCTCATCTGTAAAGTTTTCTCTGCTGTGCAAGGTAACACATTCACAGGTGCTCAGGATTAGAGCATGGACATCCTTAAGTGATCATTACCCTGCCTACCACAACAGGGTAAGTCCACTTTGTTAGGTACAATTAAAAATACATAAATAATGAGGAAAAAGATCTAAAGAAGTATGTTCTGAGTTGTTAACAATGCTCCTCCCTGAAAGGTCCCCTTATGAGACACATTCAAATTCGTATTTTTTTATACCTTCATATTATTTGAATTTTTGGGTAATAAGCCTGTTACTTTCATAAAAGCCCCCAAAGAGATATAAGGAATAAAGCAGTGATCAAAGACAGTGGGCTCATAAAGGTATCAGAGGATTATATGGGCATTTGGGTAACATTAGGGGATTTATTCACTGATTGGTATAAGACTTTAGTATTATCTCTCTAAGAAGGGTATAAAAGATAAGGAACCAATCTTATTTCACAGTTCTAAGAGAGTTTAATACATCCTTACCTGACCCTCTCTTAACATAAGGCCAAATGTAATTTCTTGGCTTTTGTAAATTTTTTATGTAAAAAATATTACGTAAATTTTTTATTTTTTAATTTTATCTAAAATAAAAGATTAACAAAAAATATTTTTGTGGGAAGTAGTATGAAAGTAGCTGGGTGGTAGGTTCCATGGACTCATTATCACAGTATAGTGATGTCTGAAGTTTTCTCTAATAAAAAGGAATAAAAAATATGGGACACTGGGTGGCTCAGTGGGTTACGCCTCTGCCTTAGGCTCAGGTCATGATCTCAGGGTCCTGGGATGGAGCCCTGCATCAGGCTCTCTGCTTAGCAGGGAGCCTACTTCCCCACCCCCGGCCCCTGCCTACTTGCTCTCCCTACTTGTGATCTCTCTCTCTCTCTCTGTCAAATAAATAAATAAATAAAATCTTAAAAAAAAAAAAAAAAAAAAGAAGAGTAAAGGCACACACACACGTGCATGTGCACTTTCTTAGTGTATTTGTTTTAAAGTGCTATGTTTTTTACACAAATATGTAAGGGGCTCTGGAGCATCCTTAACCCTTCATTGTCTTCCTAAGTGCTGGCAACCTAACAGAAAAACTCAAAATACTGCTGGGCTGAATGGGTCTTAGAATCACACCTGCTTGTCTAGGAATGGAAGACTTATTACATATGATAATTCTATGAGGTAGACTGTTTTCTAGTCCTTCCATACTATAAAGTATTGTAAAATATACATGGAATAAAGAATCAAGATAAAAGATCTGTGGTCACAGATATCATTTACTTACAATCACTGTTAACACCTATCAAACATTACTGACAGGGACTGATGAAGCCTGTACCACAATGAAGAAGCCTGAGACTGATTTTAATATTGCAAAAAAGCAATTTTCACACTGGTTGGGTCTCCAGACTTCTTTATACTCTTAAAGCTTATTGAGGAACCCAAAGAGTTTTTGTTAATGTGGATTATAGCTATCAATACTTACTATATCAGAAATAAAAATGTGAAAAGTTTTAAAAACATTTATCCATTAATTTAAAAGTAACAACACCAAAGCATTACATGTTAACATAGATAATATTTTTTTAATGAAAAATAACTTTTCAGAACAGTAAGTCAGTAAGAATAGTGGCACTGCTTAACATTTTTTCAAATCTCTGGTTAAAACAGCTGGACTCGCTTATCTGCTTCTGCATTCAATCTGTTCGCTATGTAGCTTTTGGAAAATTCCACTGTCCACTGGTGAGAAAACAAAAGTGAAAAAGGCAAATAACATCTAAATATTACTCTGGAAATAGTTTTGACCTTGTAGACTCCTTGAAAGGACTTTTGGGGACTCCCAGAAGTTCACAGGCCATACTGAGAACCACTGTTTTAAAGAAATATTAATCGGGACAACAAACCCCAGTCCTTCACTGCTCACCACACACAGCTCAGAATGGATAGGGTTTCTTTCTATAACTGCGTGCTGTAATTGTTATAAACATTTCATGCATCTATCATACCTGCCACCCTGATAATCTAATTACAAAGACTCACTGAGAAACAGTATTTAACGTAGTATCAGAGTTCTCATTTCTGCCTGAAAGACTTAAGACCTACCTGATGTCAATGCAGCTCAAGGCTTTTGCCACAGAGAGGTTGCCACCATTTGCTTTTCATTTTTCAAGCCGACACTTCACAAGTAATCAGTAACTTTTCCCCATACTCCTTTTTATTTTAGTAGTGTTATATTGGGTATACCCGTGCATCAAGGTAGGCCTTATCATTTAGCCAAACCCTAAGCTGGTAGTCAAAAATGACTGTGACCATACTAACTTCAACAATGGGTCAGATCATAATTTGGGCTTCTTGAACCAAGCCCAGGGCTGATTTATATGGCATACTTGGGTAGAGGTGTTGGCATTAAAACGGCTCTGAGAGTAATAAATTGATTAAAATCCTTCAATTGAAGAACCTGACCACAAATGTAAAGAGGTACAATGAAGCAGAAACATGAAAATAAATGGTGAATTACAATTATAGTACCTTGAAGAGCAAGTTAAAAGTTGAAAAGTGTTTCTTAGATTTAAAAGTAGCTTTTACAAAAAAAAAAAAAAAAAAAAGTAGCTTTTACAGAAGAACAAAAACAGTGGGACTAGACATCTACTTCTTAATAAAGAAAACCAGAGTGAGATAGGGGAATCACTGAATAAATGACAAAGAATAAATCAGATGGTTGATTTTATGTATCTTTGTTAGTCTGGAAATATTAAGAATTTATCATTGGTTTTGTATTTTTCAATTTTAGCAAATGCCAATGTGTCCTGGAAGAACTGATTTCTAGGGGAGTCTACTGAAATGGATTATTTGGTCCAACATTTTCTGTGCACTTAAATTTTGGGAGTTTTTTGTTTGTTTTTTGTTTGGTAAGTTTTTACTCTTTTTAGGAAGAGCCTAAATTTATTAAACAACTAACCTGAACTTTAAATCAAAACTTTGGATTCACGGTTTACGGTTGAGTAAATGATGACAAAAACCCCATGTCACTTTGTGTCTCTTTTTTCTTTCTCAATTTTCCTTATCTTCTTTTTTGTTTTTTTTCCCATGCTACAACTCCACAATTTGGAAAACAGTGTGAGAAGTAAAGAGATAAACACATCACGCTAGACCAAGTATCTCTATCATAAGCTTTCACAACTCACTATTACTTTTCCTTTATGTACTCAACATGCATTATTTTTGTCATTATTTGATTAATGTCTGTTACCCCTCTAAAAGGGTACCATCTAGTGAGTTCTTCAAATGCAGGAAATGTGATTGCTTTGCTTGCCACTATACTCCTAGTCACTGACATGTAACAGGTACTCAGTAAATATCTGCTGAATAATGTACACACATTCATTTGCCACTTGCTCAGATATTTTGGTCCTAAGAGAATGGTTTAGGTCTTCCCTTCAAGATAACTCCCTGATGGAAAAACTGTCTTTCTATATATGGAATTCTTATGAGGGATAACACATATTCCTAAATATCCATACAATCCATCCTACCTATCAGTATTTCATAAAGAAAAAAAATCACAAAAGAAAATGAACAGCTTCTGAAAATGGCAAAAATAAACTATTAGAGATGAAAAGTATAAATAACTTTTGGTCTATTAAAAGAAGGGGCAAAACTTAAGCAGTAAAATGCGGAAAACCATTAAGATACATATCTTACCTTATATTTTTCATTTGCAAATAAAACTGAGGCTCTGTGAAATTTGCATAGAGGATTCTTGGGATCAATGACAATGGCTTTGTTTAGGGTATCCAAAGCCTTCTCGGATTTTTTCAGTGCATGCTGAACCTATAAGAAATAAAGATCATATTAATGTTTCCTTTTGACATTTATGAAGAAAGGGAAGAACCATATACTGTGACTCAAATCAACATGAAGATAATAAGACTACTGAGACATCTGGCTGGCTCAATTGGTAGAGTGTACAACTCTTGATCTCAGGATCATGAGTCTGAGTAACACTTGGACATACAGATTAGTTAAAAAAAAAAAGATACTAAATCTACTGAAGTTGTATGGTGTGAGAGGGTTTTCTAAGAGTTAAGAGGACTTAAAAGTTGATTACCAGACTATTAACAGATTATCTCTAAAATCTCTTCTAATTCTAATTCAACTGCTTAACTTTCCAGGTGAGAATATGGACATCATGTTAAATAACTTGCTCTGGGATCAGAACCTCGGTCCTCTGGCACCCAATCCACCATTATGTATCCCAAACAATAATCCACGGTGATTATTTTATCTTTAGGGCAGATATTTAGTACCTTTAAGTCTAAAAGACAAGAAAAACCTTGATTTTTCCCTCACAAGAAAATCTGTACTATTTAGAGAATACTTACATTTCAATATGTTTATTAAATATTAGGCTTTTCTAAACTTTGTTCAAAGAAATACTAGAGGATTTGGCTCTAAACCCTTACCACCAGCACTGCTTCACTCAGAACAATTATATCTCTACTTATTTTAGGAATTTATTTTAAAAATAATTCTTCTGCTTTACAAATTTGAAAATCATCAATCTGGAATACAGGGAAGCAAATATTTTAAATAACATTAAAAAACCCCATACAATCCCAACATCACTATTCATTCATTTGCATATACTCATGCTATGCCATGCTCTTCCTTGGACAAACTGTATGTTAAAAAGAAAAGTGTAAGTGCATGGATATAGCCGTGGAAACTGAACAAATACCATTCACTGTAACAAGAATGTGGGAGTAGGTATTCCCAAAATCTGGTTGCTAAATTCATCTACACGATGAGATCTTTGTAGAAGGTTATTGCTACATGTGGCCAAATATTCTGCCCACCAGATTGAAATCCTAAACATTAGTTCTCTAACAGAGAAAAGCATATTCTATTACTTGAAAACAATTTCAAACGAACCACACAAAATTTTTAAACTGTCTATTCCACAATAATTTTAAAAGAAAGCCTCCTTTAAAGATGTCCAACTTCACTAAAGGGTATCAAATGGTACTTAAGTTTGATTTGCTTAAGTGATGAGAAAAATTCTTTGTTGATATATTTTCCATAGTAACTAACTATGAAAAAAGTTACCATGGCAATTAGAAAATGTTATAAAGAACTAATTCTTCTCCCAAAATGAACAGTGAAATTCCCAACTCACATAATTTCCTCACATTGTATGCCCAGTCCCACAAGCTCGCTGAGAGAAAGTGAAGGGTAGGGGAGGGAGAGAGGGAAGACATGGGTAAGAGGCAAGAACAAGAACTACTGGTACCATGTTTACAGAGAAACTAATAAATGAGATTTCAAAAAGCAAACATACTTCTTCTCTGATTGAGGTACAACTTATTATCAAACACTTAAAAGAATAAAAATTAAAAAAAGGGTGATCCTAACACTGACTCAAGTGACTCAACCCAATTAGAAAAATGATCTTACACCATGCATGGATTTGGATCATTTTTAATATCCTATCCTAGAAACATTCTATACATCTTAAGATTAAAAAAATTAAGTTTCTGTTCTAATTTTTAAAAAACAGCTTTTTATGACAATATTCATAATATTGACAGGGACATATTAAGGCTAGTTATCATCTCCTTTTGACTTTTTTTTTTTTAAACTTTTCCTTTCTTAAAAAAAAAAAGTAAGAGCCAAACTCCTTTAGAGCTTTGAACTGTATATACAGAAAATGAGAGTGCACTCTCTCTCACTTTCAAATAAATAAAATCTTTAAAAAAAATGGGCATCGATGCCTGGGTGGCTTGGTAAGTTAAGCATGTGCCTTCAGCTCAGGTCATGACCTCAGGGTCCTGGGATCAAGCCCCACGTTCTTGGGCTCCCTGTTCAGTGGGGAGTATCCTCCCTCTCCCTCTGTCCCTCTCTACCACTCATGTGTGCGCGTGCTCTCTCTCTCAAATAAATAAAATCTTAAAAAAAAAAAAAAGAGAGAGAGAACAAAAGAAAATGAGAGTGCAGTGAATGTAATGTTTAGTCCAACAGTCAGGACGCAGTTGCGCTTTTCCATTCCACCAGATACTGAACCTTTCCATTAAGTGTTACCTGATGAGACAATACTTCATATTTTTTTACCACATGCTACTCTACCTTTAGCACCAAAATAACTGGTAATGGAGTTTTTTAAATGACTGAGTTGCAACTCCTGATCTGTTAATTTATGCAAAATCTGTGTTGAGTTAATCAAATTGGTAATCATCTTTGGCCTCATCATTTGTCTAGTTATTCCACTCAGTCAGTCTTTATGATTAGTGGTTCTAAGATCAAACAGATCATATAGACAGACAGGACAAGTATTTGGGGAAACAGTGTCTGTTTTATTATCAAATTGTTGGAAAAAATTTATTTCATTATCTTTCAGATTTCATAAAGTGTAGTATACATAACACCTACTAAATGATTCTAAAATACTGAAATTTTCCTTCAAGTGTAAAATATATACTGAGCCTGTAAATTACTGTGACTAGACTTCACTGTCATCCTACTACATTCTTGCGTACATATGTATATAGCTATGTATGTGATTAAGTGATCTATGCGATACAGATTATGGAACTGGACAGGTTTGAGTATATATCCTGTGTTTTTTTCAGAAATAGTTGCTGTGTTTACACAGCAGCATTACCTGTCAGGCTTTTATTGCATGCAGTTGTTTGCTGTGTATGAAAAGAAATGTGTCAAACAAGCTTAAAGTTTAGTGTGTTCTGAAGAAGGGTGTGAACAACAGTGTTCATGGGCTTTTAGAATGCTTTCCATTTTCAGTTCTTGTAACTCAGTTGTTTAGTACCTAAAAGCAATTCAAATAATATGAACATTATCTCCTACGAAGTAATGTTTTCAAGTTTTCACGGCACATTATGACTGTAAGTGTCTCCCCACCTCAACAGTAAAGTCTATGGGAGACTCATGAAGATTCATGAAATGTCCATAGTGACTGTTAGTCATGTTGAATAAGTCTAGTATGAACAAAGTATTTTATTGCACAGAATAAATAAATAGTATGTTGCCTAACAAAGCTACTGCTGTTTTATTACAACATTACCTTTTGTTTTTATAAAATGTACTAAGATTTGAATTGATAACTTTTATTTTACATGTAAAAAACCCAGTTTCTTTAAAAAGCAAAATGGTGATCCACATCACCTTTTAAGAATTTTAATTAGTTCTGGGAGAGAGTCCAAGACAGCAGAGGAGTAGAAGACCTTAGTTTTGTCTGGCCCCAGGAAATTAGCTGGATAGCTATCAAATAATTTTAAACACCTACAACTCAGCTGAAGATCTAAGAAAAGAACTGCTACAATTCTACAAATAGAAAAGTGACCACTTTCTGCAAGAATGAAAGACAGAAAAACTCACCCCAAGAAAGAACAAGAGGCAGTACTGACTGCCAGGGACCTAACCAGTAGGGATATAAGAAAAATGCTAGAACTAGAGCTCAGAATAACAATTATAAAGATACTAGCTAGACTTTAAAAAAGCATAGAAGACACTAGAGAATCCCTTTCTGGAGAAACAAAAGAACTAAAATCTAATGAAGTCGAAATGAAGAAGGCTATTAATGAGATGCAATAAAAAACGGAGGCTCTAACTGCTAGGATAAAGGATGCAGAAGAGAGAATTAATGGATAATAAAGATGCTGAGAAAGAGAGATAAAAAACCACTGGATCATGAGGGGAAAATCAACAGATAAGTGATACCATAAAGCAAAACAATATTAGAATAACTGGGATCCCAGACAAAGAAGAAAGAGGGAGAACAGACGGTATACTGAAGCAAATTATAGCTGATAACTTCCCTAATCTAGGGAAGGAAGCAGCTATTCAAGTCCAGGAGACACAGAGAACCCCCTCAAAATCAATAAAAATAGGTCAACACTTCGACATATAATAGTGAACTTTGCAAATCTGAGACAAAAGAGAAAATCCTGAAAGCAGCTCAGGAAAAGAGGTCCATAACCTACAAGGGTAGAAACATGAGGCTGGCAGCAGACTTATCCACAGAGACCTGGCATGTCAGAAAAGACTGCTATGATATATTCAGGGTGCTAAATGAGGAAATATGCAGCCAAGAATACTTTATCCAGCTAGGATGTCTTTCAAAATAGAAGGAGTGATAAAATGCTTTCAGGACAAACAGAAGCTAAAAGAATTTGTGACCACCAAACCAGCCCTACAAGAAATATCAAAAGGGATCTAAAGTAACATAGGCCAGAAAGGAATAGAGACAATCTATAGAAACAGTGACTTTACAGGTAATATAATGGCACTAAGTTCATATCTTTCAACAGTTACTCAAAATGTAAATGGGCTAAATACCCCATCAAAAGACACAGGGTATCAGATTGGATAAAAAAGCAAGACCTATCCATACGCTGTCTGCAAGAGACTCATTTTAGACCCACGGATACCTCTAGATTGAAAGTGAGGGGGCAGAAAATCATTTATCATGCTAATGGACATCAAAAGAAAGCTGGGGTAGCAATCCTCATATCAGGCAAATTAGATTTTAAACAAAAGACTGTAATAAGGGATGAGGAAGGACACTATATCATAATTAAAGGGTCAATCCAACAAGATCTAACAATTGTAAGTATTTATGCCCCTAACATGGGAGGAGCCAATTACATAAACCAATAAATAACAAAAAAAGAAACACACTGATAATAATACAATAATAGAAGACTTTAACACCCCACTCACTGCAATGGACAGATTATCTAAGCAGAAGATCAGTAAGGAAACAAGGCCTTTGAATGACACACTTGTCCAGATGGACTTCACGGATATATTCAGAACATTCCATCTTAAACTAAAAGAATACACAGTCTTCTTGAATACACGTGGAACATTCTCCAGAACAGATCACATACTGGGTCACAAATCAGGTCTCAACCAGAACTAAAAGACTGGGATCGTTCCCTGCATATTTTCAGACCACAATGCTTTGAAAGTTGAACTCAACCACAAGTGGAAATTTGGAAGGAACTCAAATATTTGGAGGTTAGAGAGCATTCTACTAAGGAATGAATGGGTCAACCAGGAAATTAAAGAAGAATTAAAAATATTCATGGAAACAAATGAAAATGAAAACACAACTGTCCAAAACTTTTGCAATGCAGTCAAGGCAGTCCTAAGAGGTAAGTATATAGCAATACAAGGCTTTCTCAAGAAACAAGAAAGGTCTCACATACACAACCTAACCTTATACCTAAAGGAGGTGGAGAAAGAACAGCAAATAAAGTCTAAACCCAGTAGAACAGAAATAATAAAGATTAGAGCAGAAATCAATGAAGTAGAAAACAAAAGAACAATAGATCAGATCAATAGATAAACTAGAAAATGGTTCTTCAAAAGAATTAATGAAATTGATAACACCCCGGCCAGACTTATCAAAAAGAGAAAGGACCCTAATAAATAAAATCATGAATGAAAGAGGAGAGATCATAACGAACACCAAAGCAATACAGACAATTATAAGAATATATTATGAGCAACTATATGCCAACAAATTAGGCAATCTGGAAGAAGTGGATGTATTCCTAGAGATGTACAAACTCCCAAAGCTGAAACAGGCAAAAACAGAAAACCTGAACAGATCCATAACGAGCAAGGAAATTGAAGCAATAATGAAAAATCTCCCAACAAACAAGAGTCCAGGGCCTGACAGCTTCCCAGGGGAATTCTACCAAACATTTAAAGATTTAATGTTTATTCTTCTGAAGCTGTTTCAAAAAAAGAAATGGACCGAATAATGTACAGAACTACTGAATCACTGTGTTGTACACCTGAAACTAATGTAATATTGTTACACTGTGTGTCAACTACACTTCAATTAAAAAAAGAAAGGAAAAAATAAAATAGAAATGGAAGGAAAACTTCCAAACTCTTCCAGCATTACTGAGACCAGCATTACCTCGATCCCAAAGTCAAAGACTCCACTAAAGAATTACAGACCAATATCCCTGATGAACATGGATGAAAGAATTCTCACCTAGATACTAGCCAAAGGTTTCCAACAGTACATTAAAAGGATTATTCACCATGACCACGTGGGATTTATTCCTGGGCTGCAAGGGTGGTTCAACATCCACAAATCAATCAATGTGATATACTACATAAATAAAAGAAAGGACAAGAACCATATAATCCTCCCAATAGAATCAGAAAAGCCATCTGACAAAGTACAGCATCCTTTCTTGATTAAAACTCTTCACAGTGTAGGGATAGAGGAAACAACCTCAAAAAATCATAAAAGCCATCTATGAAAAGCCCATCAATGGGGAAAAATTGAGAGCTTTCCCCCTAAGGTCAAGAACATGACAGGGATGTCCACTCTCACCACTGTTGTTCAACATAGTACTAGAAGTCCTAGCCTCAGTAATCAGAAGAAATAAATCAAAGGTTTCAAAGTAATAAATAATCAGAAGAAATCAAAAAGAAATAAAAGGCATCCAAATCAGCAAAGAAGTCAAACTCTCACTCTTCGAAGACGACATGTGGAAAACCCAAAAGACTCCATCCACCCCAAAATTGTTAGAACTCATTCAGGAATTCAGCAAAGTGGCAGGATATAAAATCAATGCAGAGAAATCAGTTGCATTTCTATATACTAACAATAAGGCAGAAGAAAGAGAAATTAAGGAGTCAATCCCATTTACAACTACACCCAAAACCATAAGATACATAGGAATAAACCTAACCAAGGAGGCATAGGATCTGTACTCAGAAAACTACAGAACACTCATGAAAGAAATTGAGGAAGACACAAAGAAATGGAAAAATGTTCCATGCTCATGGATTAGAAGAACAAATATTGTTAAAGTGTCTATGCTACCTAGAGCAATCTTTACATTTAATGCAATCCCTTATCAAAATACCACCAACTTTTTTCACGGAGCTAGAACAAAGAATGCTAAAATTTGTATGGAACCAAAAAAGACCTCAAATAGCCAAAGGAATGTTGAAAAAGAAAACCAAAGCTGGTGGCATCACAATTCTGGACATCAAGCTCTGCTACAAAGTTGTCAACATCAAGATGATATGGCACTGGCACAAAAACAGACACATAGATCAATGGAACAGAACAGAGAACCCAGAAATGGACCCTCAACTCTATGGTCAACTGATCTTTGACAAAGCAAGAAAGAATGTCCAACGGAAAAAAGATGGTCTCTTCAACAAATGGTGTCGGGAAAACTAGACAGCTACATGCATAACAATGAAACTGGACCATTTCCTTATATCATATAAAAATAGACTCAAAATGGATGAAAGACCTACATGTGAGGACAGGAATCCATCAAAATCCTAGAGAAGAACAAAGGCGGCAACTTCTTAGACCTTAGCCCCAGTAACTTCTTGGTAGACACATCTCAAAAGTCAAGGGAAACAAAGGCAAAAATCAACTACTGGGAGTTCATCAAGATAAAAAGCTTTGGCACAGCAAAGGAAACAGTCAACAAAACCAAAAGACAACAGACAGAATGGCAGAAGATATGTGCAAATGACATATCAGATAAAGGGCTAGTATCCAAAATCTATAAAGAACTTACCAAACTCAATACCCAAAGAACAAATAATCCAATCAAGAAATGGGCAGAAGACATGAATAGACGTTTTGGCAAAGAAGACATCCAAATGGCCAACAGACACATGAAAAAATGCTCAACATCACTTGGCATTGGGGAAATACAAATCAAAACCACAATGAGATACCACCTCACACTGGTTAGAATGGTTAAAATTAATCAAGTCAGGAAACAACAGATGTTGGCAAGGATGTGGAGAAAGGGGAAACCCCTTACACTGCTGATGGGAATGTAAGTTGGTGCTACCACTCTGGAAGGCAGTATGGAGGTTCCTCAAAAAGTTGAAAATAGAGCTACCCTATGACCCAGCAATTGCAGTAGTAACCCAAGGATAAAAAATGCAGTGGCCTGAAGGGGCATCTGCACCCCAGTGTTTATACCAGCAATGTCCACAAGCTGAACTATGGAAAGAGCCCAGATGTCCATAGACAGATCAACGGAATACACTATACTCAGCCACCAAAAAAGTGAAGTCTTGCCATTTGCAATGACATGGATGGAACTTGGGTATTATGCTAAGTGAAATAAGCTAATCAGAGAAAGATAATTATCATATGATCTCACTGATGTGTGGAATTTAAGAAACAAAACAGAGTATCATAGGGGAAGGGAGGGAAAAAATAAAATAAGATGAGGGAGTCACAGAGGGAGACAAACCAAAGAGACTCTTAATCATAGGAAACAAACTGAGTGTAGCTGGAGGAGAGGGGTTTCAGGGGATGGTGTAACTGGGAGATGTACATTAAGGAGGGAATATGATACAATGAGCACTAGGTATCATATGAGACTGATGAATCACTGAACGCTACCTCTGAAGCTAATAATACACTATATGTTAATTAATTGAATTTAAATAAAAAATAAAATAAAAAGAGAATTTTAATTAGTTTTTGACATACCTATATCACTCAGCAGCTAAAACACAGGGAAGCATTTGTCTTGAAATAATAATTACTGAATTTAGGAGCTAAATATTAACATGGAAAAAAAGTGCTTTCGAAATATGAAGTATCTCATTTGAGTCCTACAACAGGTCTATTAGATAAGATGGTATTACTTGTCATTTATAAAATGAAAGCTCAGAGAAATGGACTTGCCCAATGAATGAGGGTACTCCAGTGATTTCTCTTTATGCCAAGGAAAAGGGTGATATTTTTGGCTATAAAATAATCCATGGTATTTTTCTAAGAATATAAACAAATAAACAGACAAAAAGCCCTAATTTTCACCACAGCAATTAAATCAGTAACAAACACATTTTGAAAGGGAGATTAAAATATTTAGAAAACTACTTACTACTCCAATGTGGCAAAGTAAAACTGAACTTTGAGGGTTGATATCAAGTGCTTTCTGGAAATGCATTTCTGCAAGGCTGAATTTTTCTTGCTTGTAATAAATCATTCCTAAACCATACCTGAAAGTATAAAATAAAGTATAATTTTAGGGATATGAACTTTTGGCTGGTAATTTAGTTCAACTAATAAAAGGGTATGTTATGGAATCTGGCATTTTAATAAACTAAAGAGAAATACTGGTGACCTCAGAGAAGGCAAAAACTATCAATCACAATAAAAAATATCATCAAAGCATTTTATTTAAAAAAATTTTTTTTCATCAAAGCATTTTAGACAAATCACTTTTATAAGTAAAAACAAATCAAATCAATCAAATAGAACTTTGACAATGGGGAAAAAAGAAACTACATCCTTAAATCTATCATTACAATCTAGATTTAACAGCTCATTTTTACTGAGTCGCTAATTATGTGTGTGCCAATAACTTTGCTAAACTCTTTATGTGAATTATCTCATTTAATCCTAGAAGGAAACAAGGAGATATGTATTGTTATCTCTCACATTTCAAACAAGGGAAATGAATTTAGAGAGGTTAAATAACATGCCCAAAGTTATACAGCTAATAAGGATTCTAAACCCTAAACTCTTAACAATGCTATTTCCATATTACTGGTGTAAATGCATATATATCATTATAATTACATATACATGGTGTCATGTTCTGCTTCCCTTGTCTTCACTATATCAAAACATACTCCCTATGGACTTAAAAATGATAAATTTTAAAGGCTATGTAATAGCATATTAACTAAATATACAGGTATTTCTTCTGAATTTTCAAAACATCAAATGAACATAATGTGACTGATTTATATTAAGGAGACCTCTCTTGGCTATAACTACGTAATGACAAGGGGGAATAAACACCAAATGAATGAGTAAGAAGAAAGTACAATATATCTTCTTATATTTGGGGTGAAGAAAAGGTATAAAAAGTTCTGTGCTAATAATGGCGATGGTGGAACAACAAAAGAAAGACTATTTACACTGGAGTTGGAATAATAAAATAAATTAACTTAGTGTTTAATTAGGTACTTAAAGTTACCTAAATATCTCAACATTTAAATTCTTCCTGTAAAAGCCTGCCAATCTGAATCTTTTCTTTTTCCTAATTGAAGTAATTATTTTTACAACAATTTTTGATATGGTAAGGTTTTTAAGAATGCAACTATTATACTATAGGACATACCCAAACATTTAAAAAACACAAGTCCCTATTGAGAACTGAGTTCTTAAAATATTACGGAGTACTTTATGTGAAGAGAAGGCAGCAGTATCAGTAAGCTTGACTGTTGACTATGTCAGCAGAAGCTAGCTAGCACTTACTTGTCAGGCCATTTTTTAGATAATGTAACTACTTAGAAATGAGATATAATTCATTAAAAATGTATATACACAGATCAAAAAATATGTTTTAATAATATAGTGATTCAGATTTAGTGACAGAATAAAAATTCAACTGCTATAATGATTACCTCAAAAGATTAAAAAAAAACAAAAAACCCCACCATAACCAACATAAAGACTGTGGCAGAGTTATGATGTCAGAATTACACTTCTTGATAGGTAAAATTATTCAGTCAAGAAAAATACAATAAAATGTCAGCAGTGGATACAGTGTTGAGGCAGAAGTAAGAATAAACTTTTTAGTGCCTTCTTCATTTGTGAACTATGTAAGAGCCAGGTAACTTCCTCAATAGAGACATTACTTAATAAACTGGAACACTGAGCTCTAAATAAAGCTAATGAACTAGATCAATATTTAATAAGCCAGAACACTGTAAAGAGCAACAACTAGTGGACAGTTCTCAATGTGTATCTTCTACCAGCCAATAGGTGATTATACTAGTCCCCTCCACTTTCCAAACCATGTTCTATCCGAACCACTGTTTCAGTGTTCTAAGAAACAAATCAAATAACAAAATTAATTACTTCACAAGTTTGGTAGGAGAAAAGGATCTAGTATTTGATCATTAGTTAAGAGTTTGTAAAAGGTATACATTTCACATGAAAAAAAAATTGGGGTTGCAACTTATCAACCAGTACGTACTATTCTGAAGTACTGGTAACCAGATTCATGACAATAAAGAGATGTCTAACAAGAAAACTTCCTGAGTACCAGCCCCATCAGTAAGACATTGTCTTTGCACTTCATTAGCACTTACCATGCGTTATAATGTCGCGGATTGACTCTGATAGCATTTCGAAAACAAGCTAATGCTTTGTCTAATTCTTCAGTTAATACAAACTCATGCCCTAATAGAGTATAGGCATAAGCATAATTTGGATCAACCTGGATAGCTCTCTGGAAGAATTTAATTGCAATATCATGTTCCCGTTGCAAACTGAAACAGTTTCCGGCAGCACACCAGGCCTTAAAAAAAGATGGAAACAAAAACCAAATATATAATTAAAATTTTGTTTCAATTTTTCTAACAAAACCAAATTTACAACTAAAATCAAGACTTAGACCTCATTGAGAACAGAAAAACAAAAACTGAAGTTATCTTTTAAAAATTCATTTGAGAGAGAGAGAAAGGGAGCGTGAGCACATGAGAACATGAGGAAGGGGCAGAGGGAGAGGGAGAGGGAATCTGGAGCAGACTTAGCACTGAGCCTGGAGCCTGGAGGGGGAGCCCCGATATCAGGACCTGAGCTGAAACCAAGAGTTAGACGTTCAACTGACTGCGCCACTCAGGCACCCCCTAAAGTTTTAATAGATACAGTTGATCCTCATTGTTCATGATTTCATATTGGTGAATTTGTCTACTCGTTAAAATTTATAGGATTTGTAAAACCAAACTCTACACTTGGGAGTGCTTTAGTGGTCACCCAACATATGGGTTGTCCACCAGGCACACTCTCAGTTGAGGTCAAGAAAGGCGATTCTATACCTCCTTCATCTCTCATATAGAGCTGACCGGAGTATAGAGTATGGGGGCAGTGCAGGGCAGGGGAGGGCAAGAAGCTCTGGCTCTGCGGTCAGCTGGACAGAGACTGAACCCTAAATCTGGCACCTGTCATGGGGTGGCCTCAGGCAAATCACCTTAACACTTCTGAACTTTGTGTTCTCTTTTATATACAATAAAGATAATAAAATCTACCAGAACGTGTTGCTTTTTAGGATTTAAGATTATAATCTGTGAGAGGGGGTGTGTGTGTGTGTGTGTGTGTGTGTGTGTGTGTGTGTCTATTTCCCCCAGGAGCAATGATCCAGTCTTTGTTAATTCAGTGTTTACAGAAACTACTGATCATAACTACTAAGAATAGTGAGAATTAACTATTTTTAATTTAATTCTAAGATTAGATATGTTATAAAGGTACCACTAACTATTCTTGAGATGCAATGAAATATAATTCTTATAGGACTGGAGCACGTAAATAAATGAATTATGCCTGTGTCTTACAATGACAATAAAAAACCACTATTTTATTTTAATTCAAAATTAGCACTTTTTCCAATTTACATTTATTTCTGGTTAATGAACACTAATGCTACTGACAACAGCAATTTTTTTTTTGAAGATTTCTTTATTTCAGTGAGAGAGAGACAGTGCGTGCATGCAAGCACACGCAGTGGGTAGAGGCAGAAGGAGAGGGAGAAAGAAACCCAGGCGGACTCTGCACTGAGTGCAGAGCCTGACGCAGGGCTTGATCTCATGACCTTGCGATCAAACCTGAGCTGAAACCAAGAGTTGGATGCCAAATGGACCACACCACCCAGATGCCCCAACAGCAGTTTTAATATAGCCAAATCCTGATTAATCTTGAATTTATTTTAATATATGCTTATGAATCTGTACCACATGTTCTAGGAGTTTCTCTTCTCTGAGTCCCTCTCTGCCTGTACAGAAGGGTGCAAAAGTAAGTGTGGATGATGCTAAATGGTGTTTGAATTATTTGCTTCGTTCCCACTTGGCTGGGGTAATTGGAAGACAACTGCGTAAGGGAAGTTTTCAGTTATCATACCTCTGGTGAATTTTTATCCATGTCAGTTAAGTCTTTTGAAAGAACTGAAAGAGCAACATCCTTTTGAAGATGCCAAAGTGTTGTAGAGTAGATCTCCATGCCTTCAACTCTGTAATTCTCAATCCTTCTAACCTCTGAGAATATTCTTTCAGCCTGAAATAAAAAAAAACTAGTTAATGGGAAAATAAGTTGACACAATTTACATATATACAGGGAGAGCACTGGGCACTATTCTCATAGGAACTAAATGCTGCTTTGCTTTATAGTGTTTATGTGAATTAGTAACAACACAGGCTCGCAATGAACAATGTTCCACAATAGGTCAAATGTTGATGTAATCATATTCACACTTAACCTAGGTATACACAACTCATGATAAGTACATTAGCTGTGAAAAGAAAACCTACATTTCCACCAAAATGACAGAGGAGGAATCTATACAAAGTTATAATTCATAAAGGACAAGTCAATTATTTTATTCTGAAAAAACACATTTTTCAAGTTTTAATAATGGCTTTACAGAATAACACTCTCAGGAAAAGTGAGAGAATAATGATTTCTGTAACATAAAACTTGTGCCCTGACTTTTATTAAGAGGTTGAGTTAAAAACTTTAGGGGAAGTAAGGTTCAGTTGGCCACCAATGCTATGGCATGTTGAGCACTGAGCATACCCACCAATGTCATACCTGCAGGGGGACTGCAGCTCCAGGCTAGTGATTCCCTTTTCCTCTGCAGCACTAAACTAACTTTAGGGTCCCTCCTCAGCTACTTTTTTCCTCCCCACACTCACAGCTCCCAGAACAGTTTCTCTCACCTTGAAGTTTGAGGCTTTGGGTTATATGAAACCAAATAGTAGTTCCCTAGTTTATCATTCAAAAGTTCAGAATTCTAACAGTCAAGTTTAGTTTAGAAAAAAAAAAAAAATATTGTGACTGTTCTTAATGAAATGAAGATGGCAGAAAATACAGAAACAGCATTTATAAAACCAGGAACTCCCAAGAAATGGCCATATTACTATCTAGGATTAGCTTAATGATTTGTAACTTCCCTGAAATCCGTTAAAAGTTACTGGTAAGTTTTTCCAATAGGCACTGGTTATAAGAAGACAGACCTAACTACAAGGCAAATATAGGTTTTGGAAATCTTTTGGTTTCAAATTATTCAGGATCTATTGTTTCCTCTGAAAAGTGATTGTGGATAGACAAAAAAACAACAACAACAACAACAACAAAAAAAAAAACCTCATGAAATTAAGCTGAAACAAAGGCTTCTGTTTAGTTAAATATCTGGGACGCTGCTCTATAATTAGAGGTAAATAATAAAAATTATGTATTTTAAAGTACTAGTGAAATAATAAATTAGAAATAATTTTCAAAGGGGCTTGCCAAACACAGCTTTTGCCTATGGATCAGTAAAGGCTCATTATCCAAATATGGAACTTCTAGCAATGAATAAGGCTGATCTGTCTACAGCAGTTTTGTTTTTTTTTTTTAAAGATCTATTTATTTATGTGACAGAGAGAGACACAGCGAGAGAGGGAACACAAGCAGGGAGAGTGGGAGAGGGAAAGCAAGCTTCTCGCCAAGCAGGGAGCCTGATGCGGGGCTTGATCCCAGGACCCCAGGATCACAACCTGAGCCAAAGGCAGCCACTTAACGACTGAGCAACCCCAACACTTCTTTACCGTATAATAATACATGAATTGGTATCTTCTTTATTTATTCTCTACCTAGAGGAACACTTCACCCCCAGATCTTTCATGGCTCATGAAGGAGTCACCTCTTTTCTCTGAGCACGTTAGTAAATAGCACCATATATCACTGCCTTGTAATCCCCTTATCATGCTTCATTTTTTTCTTCCTATGACCTATTGCAATCTGTCCTTATACATGTATTGGCTTACAATCTATCTCTCTTACTAGAATGCAAGCTCTATAAAGGCAAGCAATTATCTGTCTAGCTCTATTACAGAGTCTAGAAGAGAATCTAAGACATAACATGCACTGAATAAATGAGGAGCTGAAAGTAAACAGGGAAAAAAACAACTTTGTTATAAACCTCATAATTTATTTTAGAGAAATTTTATAATATATAGATTTCTTGAACTTTTAAATAATTTTTTTAAGTTTATGGCCAGGGAGAGAAAATGCTCAGAAGGTAAACTGGGTAGGAAATTTAAATTGGAAATTAGAATTTTCTTGGTTTTGTGTTAATAATCGTCTCCTTTTCTGGTATAAACAGATAACTTAAGCAACAAATGTAATTAAAATTAAAAGGATAAAAGGCTTGAGAAGGACATTATGTCCTCCATTATATACAGTTTTCTTCATAGCATTTTTGAAGTTTATAAAACATACTAAATGCCAAAAATTCATCCCAATGGAAACTCGCATATAGTAGAAAAATTATTATAAACACCTATTACATGGTAATATATATTTTCAGATCCAACTGAGTAGGGTACAAATATTTCACATAAGAACATATGGATGTTGGTGCCTGGATGGCTCAGTCGGTTAAGCATTCAACTCTTGATTTCGGCTCAGGTCATGATCTCAGGGCCTTTTTTTTTTTTTTTTTAAGATTTTATTCATTTATTTGACAGAAAGACAGTGAAAGAGGGAACACAAGCAGGGGCAGTAGAGAGGGAGAAGCAGGCTTTCCGCCAAGCAGGGAACCTGATGTGGGGCTCGATCCTAGGACCCCCGAATCGTGACCCAGAACCGAAGGCAGATGCTTAATAACTGAGCCACCCAGGCGCCCCATGATCTCAGGGTCTTGAGATTGAGCCCTGTGTAGAGCTCCATGCTCAGCACAGAGTCTGCTTTGGATTCTCTCACTCCCTCTCCTTCTGTCCCCACCCCCCAACCACTACACTTGAGCTTTCTTGTTCTAAAATAATTTCTAAAAATCTTAAAAAAAACCCCCAAAACAAAAAACAATATAGGTATTGGATTCTCTACAAATTGATCTCAAGCAATCTTCTCAAATTTAAATTACTCAACCCTTAACACAAGAAAAAATGATCTATTTATATATTAAAATACTCAGAAAATAAATATAAAGGCATTACATAATAAATATTAACCTTTTGGTTTTTGTTTGTTTGTTTTTTTTATTTCAAGCAGCTGCAAATCCAGTGTGGAGCCCAACGTGGGACCTGAACTCATGACCCTGAGATCAAGACCTGAGCTGAGATCAAGAATCGGATGCTTAACTGATGAAGCTTCTCAGGGGCCCCTAAATATTGACTTTTAAGAGCTAGCTGTCTCAATCACAGGCATTTTAATTAAATTTAAATTATCTCTAAAAAAGCATGTATAACAGTTTTCTATACTTACTTGCATGTACTCTGAAAGTTCAAAATAGGCCCTTCCGATTTGGCACAGTACCCAACCAGTATTGTAGTGGTGAGAAGGTAGGTGGCTCAAGATATTTATAGCTTCTTTGCAGTTGTATGAACACAAAGCTAAATAGCCTTTCCCCATTTCACGAAGAAGGCTCATCAAACCTTCTAGGAGAAAACAATATAGTAAACAAAGGAGAAAAACACAATAAAACAGTTTGGTTTTCTAGAAAGGCTAATTACAAAATAATCAAAAATTCCAACATTTATCTAGAAAAAAATGGAAGGTACTTTAATGAACATTAAAAAACTTGCTTAAAATAAGTGAATAAAATAAAACACAAAGAAGATATTAAGCATTTAAAACAGACCTGCTGCTGCTTTCTGTAGATTAAATGCCTGGATCTGAGGTGTGATTGTGGAGATTTTCCCTTCTGAAATGATGGAAGAGTCCAATTTTGTAATTTCCAGGCTATCATTTATGTTAGGTTGAGTTATTCCTCCTTTATTAGTTTTACTTTTAGTTTTTCTGTTTGGGATTTTAGGTGGAAACTTCATTTTTAATTTTTTGCTATTCTCCTGTAAAAAGGAGGAAAATTCCACACTTGTTAAACTCATTATATTTTAAGACCTCCCAATCTTTTCTCAAGTATTAGTCACAAAATTAAAAAAAAAAAAAAATTAACTGGTCTAAATTTTTCTCAGAAAAAAATGTATAATAACAAAAATTTTCAAAGTCATTTAATTTTAAATGTAACAATCCTGAAAATAAATTGTATTAATGAATTAGTGTGTAAGGTGTATCAGTATTGTTTGCTGCTCTTTTCTGAAAGTATATAACCTTATTATTTAAAAATAAAAAAATAAATGGATGCAATATTACCTAATTGAGAGCATTATAACTAGTAAGTTATAAAATTATTGAATTGTTCATGTCAAAGTCAAAAATTAACCATAATATTTGTCAAGGAGCCAAGAAAATTTACCAAGGGCATAATGAGGTCCTCCAATTGTACAAAGAAGTGTGCAAAGAACACACCGGAAATTCCCATTTATCCTTCCCCTCATTTTCCTAGGGAGAATATCTGACATAACCACAGGCCACCATCAAATCCAGGAGACTGGAACTGGTTCAATACTATCAACTAAATGATATATCTTATTTGGATTTCTTCAGTTTTTACAAATACTTTTTTTGATGTGATAGTTCTATGAAATTTTATCACATGCATGATTCGTGTAATCAACCACCACAATAAGGATACAGGACTGTCTGACCACGACACAAAAAAATTCCTTTGTGCTATGCTCTAGTAGTTGTAGCTTCCCCTCCAAGTTCTAACTCCTAATAGCCACTGATCTGTTTCACATCACAATAATTTTGTCTTTTGAACAATGTTTTATAATATTTATTAAAGAACCAAGAAAATTTATAAATGTTATAGAAAGCTTTATAAAATAAAAAAATTAGAAAAATTTAAATAGTCTCTGAATTTACTTATTAGAGATGGAGAGGGAAGCATTAAGTAAATGTGACATATGGAAATCTTTAAATTACCTTGGTTGTAGAGCTGTCACTAGTAAAAAGTCGTGAACTTCTTCGAGGCAGTGCGTTTGGGGGAGATGTGATAGTGGGGCTCAATACCTGAGGTGTTGTACTAAAAAAATGATAAAAGCAGACATCAAAAAATAAAAAACAAACAAAAAAAACCAAAGAAACAAAATCCAGCTTATGACCATTACCTTTTGTTTCAATTGAGATACATTAAAAAAAAAAAACCCATATTCATCATGTTTGTACTCTAAAGTTGATGAGTTTGGTTGGTCCTCTGTCATCTCTCTATGAAAACTCAGAATTTAAAAGCTACCTGTGTTATCATAAAATAATAAAGATTATAGCACAGAGCTTCACACCATCTGAAATTGCTAATTTGAACTTAAAACAATCCACATAAAAACTGTGGATCAAAAAGTGATAAACACATCTATAAACTAATTCTAGCCCTCATTTGCAACCATAGCAAGTTAGAGAAAAAAAGATAGTGGGACATGGATAGCCTAAATGTGGGATATTTGCCAGCAAATAAATACCATTAGAACAATTATTTCTTTATAAATTCAAACAACCACATCAAGGTTTATTCTGTTTAAAGCCAAAGGAATCTAATGATTGCCTAGGTACTTTTTTTTTTTTTTTTTAATAACTTTAAAAGGCAAACCCTGAGACATTTTCAGGGTTCCATTTTTAGAAAGTAAGCCAACTTAAAAATCACAAGTTACCTGAGAGAGGGTAAGTCTATGGACTAAATGGTTTACAGTTTATGTGAAATCCCACTAGTTACCTGAATTTGAGTCTAAGGCTTCTGAGAATAAAAGAGACACTGACCAGTGAGTACAGAAAGCCCAGGCTGCTCTTACCTTTTCAAAAGACAGAATCTCAGTGTAGGGATTACAGCAAGTGAGGTCACTTAGACTGATGAATCAATTTTATTTTATGATACATTTTTAAAGACGCATTTGTAATTTTTATATTTTTTAAAAAGATTTATTTTAGAGACAGAGGGCAGAGGGAGGGGCAGAGGGAGAGACCGTCTTAAGCGAACTCTTTATTGAGTGCAGAGCCCTATACAGAGTGTGATCTCATAACCCTGAGATCATGACCTGAACTGAAACTAAGAGTCAGATGCTTAACTGCACCACCCAGGTGATTCGATATATTTTTTAAAAAATTAGGATTTTATTCTTATTATTTTAAATTTTTTTAAAAAAGATTTTATTTATTTATTTGTCAGAGAGAGAGAAAGAGCAAGAGAGAAAGAGAGCACAAGCAGGGGGAGTGGCAGGCTGAAGGAGAGGCAGGCTCCCTGCCAAGTAAGGAGTGTGATGCAGAACTCGACCCCAGGACCCTGGGATCATGACCTGAATTGAAGGCAGATGCTTATCTGACTGAGCCACCCAGGTGTTCCCCTAGGATTTCTTTTTTTTAGAGGAGATTAGGGTCACAGCAAAATTGAGGGGAAGGTACAGAGAGATGTGCCATATAAACCTGCCCCCCTCCCCCGCAGCATGCCCCCTTATTAACATGCCCTACCAGAATGGGACATGTTACAGGTGATGAGCCTACACTGATATATTATAAAGTCTACAGTTTATGACAGAGTTCACCGTTGCGTTTTATTCATTCTATAGGTATGTGTGAATATATATAATGACATATATCCATCGTGGTGTCACACAGAATATTTTTATGGCCCTAATCCTCTGTGCTCTGCCTACTTATCCCTCCCAGTCCAACCCCTGGCGACTACTGACCTTTTTTATTGTTTCCATAGTTTTGCCTTTTCCAGAAGCTGATTCATTTTTAAGTACAATATTCTTTATTTGAATGATGTAATTTATGTTATAAATGTGAATTATATGTTGTCAATAATGTTTCCTCATTATGGAAAACAGTTTGTCTGAGAAGTGGGAGGGAATAATTTCATTTACAGAACAGTTTATAGGGAGGACAAGCCCAAGAAAAATGTTAAGACTTCTTAAAAGCCACAAAAAGTTGCATAAGTATAACATCAATCTTGTGGGGGTAGAAAATAATAGTAAGATAATTTGGAGGCTAGGAGGATGAAGAAGACAAAGTCCTCCTATATCATAATTTTCATTATGGTTCTGTTAGCTCCAAAGGCCAATCTGACAAAAGAAAAAAATGTCCAAAGTCTGACAGGCATCAGGAATATGAATCAGGATACTGAGTGAGTTTGAAACATTGGTCGTAGCACATGAAATGTACTAATTTCTTTATAACTTACATCTGTTTAACTAGGAACTTGAGAATAAAAGGAATGCGCTCTAGAATCAGACTGTTGAAGTTTGAAATCAGTTCTATCACTTATTACCTATGTGATTATGGGCCAATTATATTAAACAGTTAAAAAAAAAGTTTTGCAGGGGCGCCTGGGTGGTTCAGTCAGTTGAGTGTCTGCCTTGGGCTCAGGTGGTGATCTCAGGGTCCTGGGATCAAGCCCTGAGGCCACTCCCTGCTCAGCAGGAAGTCTGCTTATGCCTCTCCCTCTGCCCCCTGCTCATACTTGTTCTCACTCTCTCTCAATCTCAAATAAATAAAAAAAACCTTTAAAAAAATTTGTACATAATATTTTATGGTTTCATAATAAAATATGAATTTTAATTATAAAGAAGATGCTTTAGAAAGAATATAAAAATGATTTTTAGAGGTTAAAACATGTAGAGAAAATAATGACATACAAAATTTGGGGGGGAAATTTAGCTAAGAGAACTACACTATTCTAATCATCTCTAAAAAACAACTTTCTTTAAAAAAAGAACAGACTTCCACTGCCAATGGTAAATGGAGTAAAATGGAACAGATTTACTATCCCATCTTTAACAACCAATAACACTGGAAAAAAAAAAAAGAAAGAAAGAAAGAAACAATGCTTTTCAGATATCAGACAAAAAGCACATAGGCCTCAAGAGAATTCTGAGGACCCAGTGCAGTGGTCTTCCTGTGTTGAGAAAATATTGAGACTTCCAGGAAGTGAAGGCAGCTGGAATAGGAAGGTCAGAGTACTACTAGAAAGGGGAGCTACAAAGAGGGAGAGCTTCAAAGATCTGCTGGAAGTTTTCCTAGAATCTGCAGTTGAAACTGAGTAGTGCAACCGTTTAAGCATGTTATAAAAAAACCTCATCTGGTCTTTGTCCTGAATTCTTGAGAAGCAGCTTCAAAATGCTCAGAATTTCTCTCTCTCTTTTAAAAGATTTTATTTACTTATATGACAGAAAAAGAGAGAGCGAGAGAGGGAACATAAGCAGGGGGAGTGGGAGAGGGAGAAGCAGGCTCCCCACAGAGCAGGGAGCCTGACTCGGGGCTCCATCCCAGGACCCTGGGACCATGACCTGAGCCAAAGGCAGATGCTTAACGACTGAGCCACCCAGGTGCCCCAATGCTCAGAATTTCTCAAGTGATATAAGTGTCTTTGTTCTTCAAGGTGGGACCCTGAGACCACACTGAGTTATGCTAATGAAAGGACTTGTGGTGGGGCCCGAGACAGTTTCAGGATACTGGGCTGGCCTTGCCAGAAAGACCAACCAGTGACTAGAAGGCTGAAGCTTTGAGTTGGCTGTTAACAGCCTGACCTTCTCCAGGAAGGGGAGGGTGGCTGGAGAATGAGTTAAATCACATGACCAATGACACAAGCTATCATGCCTATGTAATGTAACTCCAGTAAAAACTTTCACTACCAAAACTCAGTGGTGCTTCCCGGTTGGCGAACACACTGATGCACTGTTGAGGTGACACGTCCTACCTAAGGAAAAAGACACAGAAGCTCTGTGTTCAGGACCCTCCCAGACCTCATCCTATGGGGTCTTGGGTCCTGGTCTGGTCCTGACTGGTATACCTTATAATAAAACTTTAAGTACAGAACTTACCTAGATTCTATGTATTGTTCTAGCATATTAAACCTCAGGAAGTAGCAAGAACCCTCAAATTTGTAGGTAGTTTGTCAGAAATGAATGTGGCCCAGGGAAACCCTGAAATTGTAGCTGCCAAGTCAACAAGATTTATTAAGTCTTGCTGGGACTATCATCTTAGCCTGCAGAATCTACGCTATGTCTGGGTAATTAGTATCAGAACTTACTATAGTATTACAGTGAGGAAAACTACCTGAATCTAGAGAAAAAAATACTGGAAAGGAGCTGGCAGAACAATTCTTGGGGCTCACCCTGGACTGGGAATAGCTCAGATTTTCAATAGCCAGAATGAAGAAACCTCATACTCAACAGGTCACTGAGTACTCAAAGGACACTGCCTCAATAGTGGGGCAAAATTAGTCTAGACTAAAGGCCACTCTTGTCCTACCCACAAAACTTAAAAATCAAGACCTAAAAGGAATAAAGTCTTAACAAGTAACTGCCTCCCAAAATAAAACAGAAATACTTAGAAGACGATAAAATAGTCCAGCACTCAACAATGTAAAATTTCTAATAACTGCCATAAAAAAACAACAACAGCAGAACTAGACATATAGAGAAGCAGGAAAATATAACCTATAGTGAAAAGAAAAAAAAAAAATAAAAAAAAACAGACCCAGAAATAACACAGTAAGACAGCAGACAAAATCACTAAAAATCATTAAAAAAAAAAAATTATAGATATATTCCACATGCTCAAAAATGTATTAGAAAGAATGAGCATGTTAAAGGAGAGAACCAAATGAAACTTCTGGAGATGAAAAATAGAACATCTGAGATTAAAAGTGTATCTATATCCTGGCTGGGGTTAATAACAGATTAGACACTGCAGAAGAAAAGATTAATGAACTTGAAGACATAACGATAAATACTACCCAAAATGAAACAGAGGAAAAAGACTGGAAACAAAAATGAACACAGTACTGAGCTGTGAGGGGCAACTTCACAGTCTAAAAAACACATACTCAGTGTCCCAGGAGGGGAGAGGGGACATGATTTGAAAAAATACTTCAAGAAATAATGGGACAAAAATTAGCTAAATTTAATAAAAACTACGAAATTACAGATCCAAGAAGCTCAATCAATTTGAAGGTCAAGAAAGAGGAAAAAACTACATGATAGCATATCATGATCAAATGACTTAAGATCAGAGATAAAAAGAAAATTGTAAAACCATCAGAAAAGAAATACATTACATACAGAGGAACAAAAAATAATAAGACACACTTCTTGTCAGAAACAAAACAAGCTAGAAGACAGTAGAACAACATCTTTAAAGAAAAAAAACATGAACAAGAATTCTATATCTAGTGAAAATATCTTTCAAAAACAAAAACAAAGGTGAAATAAAAATCTCTTTCAGACATACAATAGCTGAAAAAATTCATTACCAGCAGACTTGGACTATAAGAAATTTTAAGTCTTTCAAGATGAAGGAAAAGGATACCAAATTGAAATGTGAACCTATAGAAAGAAATAAAAAGCACCGGAAATAGTAAATACGTGGGTAAATACAAAATAGGTTTTTCTTATTTTAAAAAATCTCCCTAGAAGATAACCGACTATTTAAGGGAAAAACTGTAACAATGTAAATGGGGTTTACACACATGTAGGAGTAAAATCTCTGGCCACAATAGCATAAAGATGGGGAGAGGGGCATAAAGCACACTGTTAAAAGGTTTTATACCATATATGATGTGGTACAACATTATTTGAAGATAGACTTTGGTAAGTTAAAATATATACTATAAACACTAAAACGGCCTCTAAAAAGACAAAACAGAGTAACTGTTAATGAGGCAGTATTAGGTTGAACTGTGTTTCCCCCCAAAATATGCTGAAGCCCTACCAGTACCTGTGAATGTGACTTGTTTGAATTCAGACTCTTCGTCGATGTAATCAAGTTAAGAAGAGGTCATTAGGGTGAGTTCTAATTCAGTCTGACTGTAAGAGGGAAATTTGGATATAGAGACACACAGGGAGGATGGCCGTGTGAAGACAGAGGCACATACTGAGTTATGCTCTCATCCACTAAAGATGCCTGGGACTACCAAAACCTGGAAAAGACAAGGAAGGATCTTCCCTCGGAGGCTTCAGAGGGAGTATGGCCCTGTCAACACCCTGACTTTGGGTTATAGCTTCTACAACTGTGAATGAATACACTTCTGTTGTTTTAAGCCATCTAGTTTGCAAGAACTTTGTTACAGCAATTGTAGGAAACTAAGATAGGCAATAAAGGAGAGAAAATGGAATCAAAAATACAAAAAAACCCCCATAAAATCATCAATAGTTGATGCTTATTAAAGTTAGTATAATTGTTTAGCTTAAGTGAAATATATAATTCCGTAAATTATGTTTATATATTCTTTAGGATTAGCATTTACTCAGCCTATATAATATTGTTCTGCAGGAGGCTTCAGGCTCCTTCTCATAACTGAGCCTCAGGCAATCCCTGTCACGTGTCTGTGAGCTGGCACTCATGAGACTTGCCATCCTGGCATTTCAGAAATAGAGGCCTTTTACATAGTTAAGGTTTATGTACATGTGTATCTATTTTAAAACTTCTGGTACATGTATCATTCTTCTAAAATATTAGCTATGGTTTGTTTTTGAATACTTCAACAGAAAAGAGAAACCCTATTTAACACCATTTCTGTGTGGCAGTGGATTATTTGAAGATTAACCAGAAGATTAATTTTATGATCTGTATATAGAAGTGCATAATGGGGGAAGGGGAGAATGAAACCTATCTGTATTTGACCAATGAAGGTCATGTAATAAGAAAATTATTTTGGAGAAGTGTTCAGAATATCTAGTTTAAACAATTCATGAGGGAATCAGAGTAAAATAAAAAGACACTTTGGTTACTTTTGTCTTGATTTGTATTAAAATACTCAACTAAAAATTACACTAGTCTTCTCAGTAAGTTTGAAATGCCTTTTTTCTCCCCCAAGATTTTATATTTAAGTAATCTCTACACCGAGTGTGGGACTCAAAATTACAACCCCAAGATCAAGAGTCGCATGCTCTACTGACTGAGCCAGCCAGACACCCTAGAAATGTCTAATTTGACATATTTAAAACTTATAATAGTCATTCTAGAATTCTTGAGAGAGTAAAAACCTGCCTAAAGTGAATAAAATCATGTTTTATAGCAAGAAAAGCCAACAATATCAAATAATGACACCATAATAAATACCTTGTTTGTGGGCCAGAACTTTGTGTTTGTGCAACAAGAATTGGGGTTACCTCTCGACTATTTCCACTCTGGGAGAAGACAGACTTTGTTCCAGTTTGGCCGATTCTGGCAACAGACTGTAAAACACAAAAAGTCTAAGGTTTGTGAATTATAAATTGCACTGAAAATGGTAAAAGACACCATGATGCTCCCATCTACATTTTCTCAATGCAAGATTTCATAACACATACTTGTTATCTGTAAACACAAATTACTGTCATTATTAATGTTAATTAATATGTTAGGATCAATATTAAACTATTTCATCCTTTTAACTTCAGTATTTTTTTTTTTTTTAAGATTTCATTTATTTATTTGAGAGAGAGAGAGTGTGAGAGAGAGCACAAGCTAGAGAAGTGGCAGAGGGAGAGGGTGAGGGAGGAGCAGACTTCCCTCTGAGGAGGGACTATCCCAGGACCCTGGGCTTATGACCTGAGCTGAAGACATATACTTAACCGACTAAGCAACCCAGGTGTCCACTTAACTTCAGTACTTTTATCTTTATATTAGCCTTCCATTTTTTAATTTAGTTTTTAAGGAAAGGCTCAAACTTCCTGAAAATTCCTAAAAAGGCAATTATTACACATTTTCCAGGTGGGGCTAAGTGTTCCAAGAATTTTAAGAGCTACTACTCTTTAGATTTATAATCTAACTCAGATTTATGATCTAATATAAAAATAATAATAAGTAAGATTTAACATCCCTTCTTTGACACTTAAAAGATATTCTATAGTAGTTCAGAGGAATACATTTTTAAAAACTACCCGATTATTTTCCATATTCCAAGCATTCTGTTCTTAGAATTAACACTTCTTTGTAGTGTGTTCAATTTCCCATTAACTGCTCTCTGTACCTGTGGAAGAGTAAAAAGACCTCCTGGCCCTCTGTCTTCTCTAATTTATCAACTTACTTCTATTCATTTCCATCACTTGGCTTCTTTAAAAAATGATCTGTGACTGTTGTATCAATGGTTATTTTTAGTTTTTTTTTAATACCAGATAATTTTCTTCAAAACTTATTATTATTTTGATACCCACTGTACATAATTCTCAAACTTTATAATGATAATTAATAACTTTCTCATCAGATATGAAAGCCTTATTTTGGCCTTTCTAGTATTCAACATGAATGATCATATCCTCCTTTTTGAAACTGTATATAACTTCCAAAATAGTATGGTATCTTGATTATTTGTCCTAGCACTTCATCTACAGGCTCTTCTTCCTTCCACTGTTTTAAATTAAGTATGCTCTGTGTTCTTTTGCTACTCTCTTTTCCTAGGACAGCCTGGCTATTTTGACAACTTTATTATTTCTATCACCATATCAGGCCATATTCTCTCCCCTATGACTATCCATGAAATAGTTTTATCTAAGTTACCACCACCTCAAAATAAAACTTTATAATCCTTCCTCTTCTTCTTCCCCAAGATGGAACCTCTACATTCACCCAAGGGACAAAATTTAAAGTCATTTCTGGCCCTTCCTTATTTAACAAAGATCTGTGTACTGTACACAATATTCAGTTTGATATTTTTAGTTGATACTAAAGCAGATCTATGAGTAGAACTTTCCTATGAATGTCTTATAGCAGGGGAAGTAGAGAACAGGAGCAGAAGAGGAGGAGACAGCAAGTGGCTTTATTGTTTGGGCACTGAAATCACCTACCCAGCACTGACTAATTTGTCCTTGATTGCTATGGCTTGCCTCGTTTTGGCTTACTTCACCTGGCATGCTGATTAGTATCCTACTATGCCTTCTTGTAATTGTAATAAACTGATTTCTACAATTATACTTCAGGTAGCTGCCAACTCTTGTAAACAAGATTTAAAGTAATCCATACATCAAGTACTTTGCAGCCCCCCCTTTTTTACTAGTCTCAGAGTTTCTATTATTACTCATTAAGAAGCTATTATAGAAACAAAACTTCACAGACTCTAAGGAATTTTTGGAGTAAAAAGAAGAACAAACATCTCTAGGAGGGTTAAGGGTTTATATCAGTCATTTACCAGTATGACTTACTTAGCTTCCATTTCTTAAACACCTATTAAGGATGCCAATATGCATTTTAAATACACAACCTAACTTATTTTTCACAGAAGGTAACCCTTTACCATAGAACTATTTGAAGCAAATGGCACTTTGACCTCTAATGCCATAGACCTATATAAAAGTACATTATTTAAAAAGTCTCAAGACTTGCTGCAGTATTTATTATAAAGATACTGTCAAGTATTTTTTATCTTACTACACATTTACTATAAAGTTACTATACATCTATAAGAATCTGCCATAAAAAAAACTTTATTATCAGAAATAGCTGGCTTTATGCAAGTTAATGTTTTTTTCATGTTAATTAGTGCACTTAAAAGACAAATACAGTTGTGGAGACAAGTAAAAAAATGGCAGGTATAATTTCTGCTATTTATATTCAAAGTGATAGAAACCAACCTAATTTCATTTAAAAAAGGAGAATTCAAAAGTAAAAATCTGAATGTTTATTTAGCTACATGCTAAAATCAGCTATACTTGTGAGTTACAATTTTACATGGCCAAAGAGCAACCAACTTTATGTCTCCTACTGTAAGACTTATGACAGCTTATGACAATGATGACCTTCTTTTACATTTAGATCAACAACTCTATGGCAATGGTCATTATATAAAATTAGATTCTCTCTGAAATTGCCTTTAACAGATTGGAATTTTAAATGAATTTCTTTTACAAACATCAAAACTGTATTTTACATGAAAAATACCTTTTTTGAAGGGGCTCCAGTAGATGGCACGTCAATTACAGAAGATGTATTAGTGTAGTTTTGTAAATAGGATCCATCTCCAGGACTTGGGGTTTCTAATGGCAAAATCCCAAAACTGAGAAGAGGTTGAAATCAAGGTGTCAAAAAGTCATCAAGGCATATATAAAGCAGCAGTATACTTAAATTAGAAGGTCTAAAAGGAAGAGAATGGCAAATCAGTCTTGGGGGCAGTGAGGATCTGAGGGGCAGATTTAAAATAAGCTGTGAATGTAGACTTTTCCACCCACCATAACTAAATTAAAAAAAAAAAATCAAACAAGGAATTAAATTGAGCAACAACTACTGATATCAGGAGATTTATTGGAAATAAAGAAGAATGGCTTTGTAAAAGCAAAGATCCAAATGATCAAATTATTTCAAATTCTTGGAATTTACAGGATTTAGACACTGTTACAGAGAAACTGTCTCTAGAGACCACTGGATCCATCTGTGATTCAGGGAGTTGTAATCTCATGGCCATGATGTTTTAGTAACTCTCTGGCCCCGGGACCCAATTCATAGCATCTGTTCTAGCACAGAATCTTTTATTTTGACACTTTTGGATAGGTATTCTCTGGGCTGGGTTCCTGTATTTACATATATATATATTTCTAATAATTTTGACAAAGTATTTCCTATTGGTAGGTGTCAATCCTTCTTCCATGGTTTGGAAAACTACTTTAACAATAATCACTGCTGTCACTCTGATTATATAAGCATTCCACCATTTCAAAAGGTTCACGGATATTCACGGACATACAGCCAAAAGGACAGTATCTTTTAACACATATACTAGTTGAAGAAGGCATATTTAAGAGTTTTACATTTTTCTTTAATAGTTAATATTAAATTTTTATCACAGGTATTATATTTCTTTTACTTCATTTTCTGAAAATAGAATAGGCCCATTACCGACTTATTAAATGCTTCTATTTCCATAATGATTTAGAAGTTGCGGTTCATTTTAATTAATATTAATAATATGAATTATTACAGATCATTTAATATTATAGCACATTTTAAAGCATGATTTGTCTGTCTTACCTTGGGGTTAATGGGCTAAGAGCAGCTGGTCCTCCTAATAAGCTTCGACCAGTTTTTGGTTTATTTTGAACCTGTTTAGATAATATGGAAGTTCCTGTTCCAAGAGGGACAGTATCTGGTGAAATTACAGCTGAATCAATATAAGACACTGAGGAATCTGTATTCAAGGAGTACTTTGAATTGGAAGATTCTAAATTCAGTCTGTTTAATTCCTGAAACAGAAAATTTCTACCATGTCATTTATGATACATTATTTAGTTCACTCTTTCCTGTTTTCATAATATTTGAACACTAGCATATGATACACTTACAATGGTGTCCTGGGGTGTTTCCGTAAGAACGGTCTCAGGCTGTCTGTGAGATAGACTATGATTAGATACTAGTGTTGTACACGAGCTGGGCAGACAGTTGCTAAAGTTCTGTAAAGATGTTAATTTAAATGTTTGGTCAGGATCTGGCTTTTCACCTGTGAAGGGAAAAAAAAATATATGCCTCTGAGGAAATGAGGATTAATATCTTTTTTCAAGAATACATAAATTAGTGGAAATAAGGCCTTATCCAGTGTTTTAAAGTTCTCCTGTTTCAGCTAATCAAATTTACCTCCCCAAAGTCCATCTATCAATTTATTATAAAAATCTACCCCTCAGATAAAGCTATAAATTTAGAAATTAAATGGAACTAAAAAAAGCACTGATTTTTAAATTTAATAAATCACTGGAAAATGCAGATTTCTGTGTTTCTTTTAAAGCAGAAAGCAAGTAGATCTCATTTTACTCAAAGTAAGGAGTGATGGTCAAGAGCTGAAACCCGATAGACAGTAAAGTTTCAAGCACTTTTGTGTATACATACACAATGTTTTTAAAATGATCGTTGATGCGTCCTAGAGCACATATACTAAGGCACTCTTTCCCCATACTGTCCAGGTCTTATTTACATTAACAGTTTCTAGTTTCTACTCCAGGCATTCTATTAATTTCTTTCCTTACCTAGAAAGCTAGTGCTATACTCACAACAGGACTCATTCTAGAGGACACAAGGCCAAATCATTCCTTAAACATATTCTATTACCTTATTTCTTATTCTCAATTTTAACAGCTTTTAGCTTTGAAAAATATTTTTCTTCTGAATAATTTGTATCACTTTCCAAAAACTGAGAAGGAGGAAAAAAAGAGTAAGTAGGGGAACCCTCCCCTAGCTACATCTACAAACCTACCTATTTCACATAATGATTCAAAGGGGGACCAGAGGAAAGGATTTAAACTAAGGCTCTTTTGGTAACATTCTGATCCTTTGGCAAGCCGATCTGTCTTGCTGTAAAGACAAACAAATAGATTAGACAAGCTATACAACCCAAAACATTATAAAGAAATTTTTGGTACAAAAAAATTAGGTACTCATACATGTATGTAATACATGTATGTATGTAATACATATCTAAGTTCTGCGAGTACTCTTCTTGACGCTTCCCTAAATTACCAATTTCCCCTTCTTAACATTCTCCAATCTCTATTATTTAAGGCAGCTCAAATCAAAAGGCCAGTGAAAGCAAGCAGAACATGAATTGAAAGGAGTGCTAGCCTAATAAACGATCATTGATTCTTGAATATTATAATTGCTTTTAATTTCCTGTCAGATACTGGAATTACTGAGGAGAGATGGACAATATCCAAATATTTGTCCTATTCTTAATTTTTAATGTAATATCTCATTGGTAATTTTGAAAGTGACTGAAATGTTTTAAATGATCAGATCTTCTAATGAAGTAGAGGTAGTGGCTTTTTTTTTTGTTTTTTTAAAGATTTCATTTTTAAGTAATCTCTACACCCAACATGGGGCTTGAACTCACAACTCTGAGATCAAGAGTTGCATGCTCTACTGACTAAGCCAGCCAGGTGCCCCAAGGTGGCAACTCTTAATGAAACAAGTTTCTCAAATTGAGGTAAAAGATTATTTAGATGGTACTGGGAAGAAACCAGTTAATCTAAGAATCGGACTAATTATTGTGTCCTAAACATAGAAGTCTCACGAGCTACTGAAGACAAAAAGACCAGTAAAGAGATAAAAAAGATAACCCACTAGCTATAGCTACAAAACAACAACAGGTATGTATCTAGATTACTGGGTCCAATTTTGGTCATAAGACAGACACATAATGGCTGAAATGAAAAGCCTCTTTTTTGGAACAGACTTTTCCTCCACTGGATATTAAATCTTTTAATATTTATGATGACTAAAAGGAACCCATCCTTATTCTTTAAACAAGGGTGGGGGGAACCCTTCTTTGTGGTTAGGACCTGATTCAACTGTACCTTCAAAACTTTTAATAATCTTGTTTAAAAATAATTAGTAGAACACATAAAGTATTTTTGTGATTTAAACATTTCATTTTGTTTTATTAAACTTTATTTTGAAATAATGTTAGACTCATATACAAGTTATAAAAATAACACAGAGTTTTTATGTACCCTACACCCAGCTCCCTCAGTGACAACATTGGACATAACAATAGCACAGTTATCAAAACTGGGAAATTAACAACAACATAAACTAAACCACAGACTTTACTTGGATTTTAGCAGTTCTTACATGCACTCATTTGTTTATGAATAGTTTTATGGAATTTTATCGTATATAAAGATTTGTGTAACCACCACCACGATCAGAATACAGAACTGTCCCAACAGCCCATACCTGCCTCTGCACAGCTATACTCTTGCTTCAAATGTACCTTCTGATCTGACAACTACTGATCTGTCTCTATCATTATAATTGTCATATCTATGCTTTATGAGAAATTCTGTTGCTCTGCATCCTCACCACCACTTGGTATTGTCAATTTTTTTTTTTTAAAGATTTTATTTATTTATTTGGCAGATAGAGATCACAAGTAGGCAGAGAGGCAGGCAGAGAGAGAGGGGAAGGCAGGCTCCCTGCTGAGCAGAGAGCCTGATGTGGGGCTCGATCCCAGGGCTCTGGGATCATGACCTGAGCAGAAGGCAGAAGCTTTAACCCACTGAGCCACCCAGGTGCCCGGTATTGTCAGTTCTTATTTTAACCATTCTAACAGGTGTGTAGTGGTTTCTAATTGTGTTTTTTATCTGCCTTTCCCCAACAGCTAATGATTTGGCACATTTTTTTCATGTGATTACTTACCATCTGTATATCCTCTTTGGTAAAATGTCCATTCAAATATTTCACCCACACTCAAATTAGTTTCCTAATTTCTAATTTTCTTATTATGGAGAATTCAAGAAACAACCTGTTTCTACCAAGTCTTGCCTACTTACCATCTTACCCCTCCTTCTTAACCAAGTAGAACTCATTATTTCCTCCTTCAGACAAACTACTGCTCAAAGTTTAACACGGCATTTTTATTGTGATAAAAACTTACAAAATTTGTTTACAGCTTCTCTATTATAAACCTTTGAGGGCAAGGACTGTGAGTTATTTATCTTCACATTCCCAGTGTCAAGTACTGTGTCTAGCCATAAATGGAGGATAGACCTCAAAATATTTTGAATAAATGACAAGAATAATCATAGTTGCATGAACTAAAATTCATTACTCCAAGTCCTTTTACTAAGATAAATGAAGATATTGATATTATATCTTTACTTACTCCTGTTCTCAAAAGAGTGGTGTCATCTGAAAATGAGCCCCAAAATTCAGCCAAATAATTTATTCTGTTCAAAAAGACATTTTCAAGGTTTTTAAAAAACTACTATTCAAACTAGCCTCAATTTATCTTAAAACAGATGCTTTCCTAACTCTTTAAGACAAGCAATTCTCAACCATTTCTTCTACAATATGTAACAGGTGACATTTATACATGTGATGATGCACTCCCATGGGCAGCTGAACAATTCCTGTTATCTAATTATATCTCCACCCTCTATTCCCCAACTCAGAATATTTCAGAATAAAAATCAGTGCAAACAATATTATTATAGTGATGACTTTGAATTCATTCTCACTTGGTTTCAAAAGACTAAATTTAAATAAATGTAAAGAAATTTTAAATACATTTAAAATTCTTTGCAAATTACTATTATTTCAACTATCATTGTAGGAAGTTTCCTATGACATGCCTCAAGATTAGTATGGCAAACCAAATGGAAATTACTATTCTTTATTACTGAAATTTGCCTTCAAGCCTTGTTCTAAGGAGCAAAAGTGATATTTAATACCAGAGAAAGAACTTCACTCATTTCTTTTTCCTCAGTGGATGACATGAAGATATTCTCCTCACCCAAGGTAAAAAAAAAAACCATATGTGCACTCAATTATTAGGTAGTGTTGCTGTAGCTACTATTATTAAGGCAAGGTGGATAGTCAAAAAAATGGGATCAACATCCCTATTACTTTATAGGTTTAACAAGGTCATAGAACTGGAAGACTGTGTGTGTACTCTTCAGCCAAGTGCTATCTGATAAATATAGGTAATGTAAGTTTTTTTTAAGTCACAAAGACTTCTAGCACTGGAAACAATCTTCTGGTAACTTGAATCATTCTTACTTACCAATATACATGTCCCAACAAAGAAAGAGTAAAGCAAGCTGAATCACCAAACTCAGTAACAATATCATCATGGCTTTTCTGCTTATTAAACACTCCACCAGATAAGATCTGTTCCCCTTCTGCAAGCCTTTAAAACACAAATTTACAGATTAACAAAAGTCAGTATAAAAAGTACTGTGTGTAAAGACATTCTTCATTACCAATGTACTTCCTTATATGGAGATAGATAAAGTAAGAAGTCCATGGTACCTTTAGAACAGCAATAACCACGTGTTTAGAATCATTTGGAAGACTGGGAATTTATGATCTTAAAATTCCAGTCTTTCCTTTAAAAACAGAACAAGTTAAATTTAGTTTCTGTATGTACAAATGTAGTCTGAGAAACATACACATTACTCATGTCAAAAGAAATGGAAGGCCGATATACTGGGGGAAAATGTGAATGGTTCTTCACTAACAGATATAGTGATCCTTTTTAGTTCTATAATTCCTTGAAATAGGAATCAGCAAGCAAATTAAACAAGACCAACAGATTTTAACTAAAAACTGCATACTTAATGGTCTCAGTCACTTTTTACAAAAGAAACCTGAATAGCACTTCATCTCTTTTTGTCAATTATGTTTTCTTGAGATAGAAAATCATAAGTGTTCCCCAAAGGGGGAAAAAAAAAAATGACCTGACTTCACTATTTATTTTTAGCACATCAGTCTGTAATTGTTTCTGTTTTAAAGTTTTTTCCAAACATCATGGGGAAAACTCTCGAGTAAGTTTTCATAGCATATCCTAAACATAAATGATATCTATAGTTCTTTTACTGTCAGTGGGGCTTTTAAGAAACCATGAATACTTGTAAATGGAATAAAAATGTCTAAGGTTAAGAACTGGCTTAAGAAACTGCAAGTTAAATAAATTTTTAAGAATTTAATATTAGAATCTTTGAAGTAAAAATAATTCAATAACAAGTGTTTCAGAAATTTTATAGATATTTTAGCTAGCTTTAATTCAAAAGTCATCAGTAAGACAGTAGACAAATACAATTTTTATTAGTCTACGGAGACTTCATGAGGCTTAGTTGTGTCCTCCACTATAAACTTACAAACTACATTCACGTATAGGCTTTTACAGTTATCTATTTAGTCACTTTTAGCATTATTCCAACTCTTCCAGCACAGAAAAGAGTTTAAAAGAAGATAACTACCTATATTTATAGCTGCCTCCGGATTCAGAACAGGGACAGCTGACTTAACTGTAATGTTCAAAAGAAGTGTTCTCCTCAATCTGCCCCCTTGCTTCAAAGAGGCAGGAGGAGTGGTTCCCAAATAGAATGATCTCAAAAGGCAAGTAATTATGCAACTACCCCAGACACAATGAAGCGTTAATCTCAGGTGAACAGGTAAGGAGATTTTCAGGCTTATTCCAATTAAAAGCGAAGGAATGGAAATTAACACTTCAGATAATTTTAGAAAATGATAGGAATTAGTTATAACTTAAATTTCTCCAGAGTTAAATTCTATTATTTATTACCATAACAATGAAATCTCTCCATAACAAAAATGATAATGCCATAGGCAACAGTATAAACATTTTAAGTTACTGAAATAGACAAATCTCTACCACCAAAAAAGAGAGGAGAAAGGGAGTCAGAGTTTAATCTATCAAAAGGATTTTATCCAAAATTCTACAGTGTAAGTAAACAAAATTAGATAGAAAAGATTTAAAAACTTACTTGCTGAGATCAACACAACATTTTGCAAGCAGGTATTTACACTGCGGTGTAGTACAACTGTGTCCTTTCAAGAGTCTATATGCTTTATATGCCTTTCCTGAGCGGTAATAACAGGTTGCCAATAAAAACAAGGCTTCCTCTGAGTGTACTAAGAGCACATATGAAAAAAAATGGCTATTATTCAGTATGTTGAATGGTAATCACTGCTTATCTGGCAATAAACAAGTTTAGCAACAAAAAATTAGTCATGTTATTTAATATAAAACGATCATTTGTTAATCCAAATTTGAATTGAGAAATACTTTACTGATAGAAATCTTAGTTCCCCAAGTCCTGATTACCTTCTTACAAAGAACCAAGGAAATAATACAATGAAGGCAGTCATAGTATTTTCAATAAATCCTTAAGAAAAGTGTGCACTTGTGCACACACACCCACACATGCACACATCCACACCTACCTTTAAAAAGACTACCAGTATACTGTCTTTTTTTTTTTTTTGGTAATATTTTTCTAATAGACTCTTTGAGAGAAGAGAAGTTAAATTTCATGAGAGGGTAACTCAGGGTTATAAAGCTAATTATCAATCTGAGATTATTTTCTACATTAAAAAAGGACAAGATTTAAAACACACATGCTTATTTCTAATACCAAATACAAGCTAAATTATACAAGATAATTTAAGACAAAAGAAAGATAAACACAATGTTTAAACATTCAATTGACAGACTTAACACTTCTATAGCAATAATTATATTGCCCTGCAATGGCAAGAGTGGAATTATTCAATCCGTCCGCTAGTCTTAATATTAGGAAATGCCCCTTCTTGCTTAATGAAATATGGCATTTTTTCCTTACTTACTGTCTCCCAAACCATCACCTCACTTCTATCCTTGCAAGCTCCCAACCAATGCAGGTGAGAGTCTACAGAAACACCAACAAGGGAGATAGAGGGAAAAATCACAAATCTGTGCTTCTAAAAATAGGTTATGTAATTGGGCTGAGGGATGTTCTAAAGCAGTGGTTCTAAGTGTGGTCCCTCTACCAGCATCAGCATGATTTGGGAGCTTGTTAAATGAGAAATTCTTAGCTTTATCTCAGACACACTAAGTCAGTAATTCTGGGAGTAGAGACCAGCAACCTGTGTTGTAACAAACCCTTCAGGTGATTCTGATGCATGCTGAGGTTTGAGGATCACTGCTCTAAAGTACAAGGTAAATTTGCCACATCCTCTTAAAAGTTAACTTCACTCAAAGTTTGGGATTAAAAAAGTAGTTAAGTTCATTTAAAGTTGGAGATTAAAAAGTCAGTAATTTGTAAGTTTATTCCTACAAAGGTTTTTTGGGAGTCATATAGATGCAAGCAAAAACTAACAGAACCCTTCCACTCTGGTCCACCTTACGTTTTTTTCATGAAACCTTACTACCAAAAAAAAAAAAAAAGCAATGAATGATATGTAGCAAATGATAAGAAATTTTGGCAACATGTTAATGGGACAGACCTAGTATTAGTGCATCAGAAGCAAAAAAATGAATAGGGAGGGACGCCTGGGTGGCTCAGTTGGTTAAGCAGCTGCCTTCGGCTTCAGCTGCCTTCGGCTCCCTCTGCAGGGAGCCTGCTTCTCCCTCTGCCTCTGCCTGCCATTCTGTCTGCCTGTGCTCGCTCTCTCTCCCTCTCTCTCTGACAAATAAATAAAATCTTAAAAAAAAAAAATGAATAGGGAGCTCTATTGCAACAAACTGTTAATTTTACTGAACTGTAAGTGCTCATTCACATATATTAGAAAGTGTGATTTCTTCCTGATTTTGCAAAGGCCTAGTTTCCCCTTATACGTTAAAAACTTTTGATTGCACCAATAAACAAGGGCTCCCCTAAACTAGTTTAACTTTCAACTATAACAATGCTTCATCAAATGTTTTGTCTTAAGTACTTGATTATGTTTAGGTACATTTTCACTGCAGAAAAATTCCCTAATAACATAAAGATACCAAATATTCTGTGTGGTGTGTGTGATTTCAGTGTCATACTGCAGTTACCTTTTTGAAATGTAATAACTTAAAATCTACCAGTTCAGATGGGAATATGGATTGGAAGTCTAAGCACACCTTAAGGTTAATGAAAGTATAAGATATTGAAGTAAATCCAGAACAACTTGAAGGGTTGTGAAAGACATGGAGAGACCTGGGTGGTTTTTGAGGCTCCCCAGAAATAACCGGACAGTCCTGAACACTGAATCAGTAGCAAGGAGTTATAATAAAGCTAAAAAGCATAGACTATTAACAAATGGATTTCATCTGGAACAGTAATTCCAACTCATTGACAGTGGCTGCCTCAAGTGCTAAATTCAGAAAAATTCTAAGGCTGACCACAACTTAACTAGTAAGTGTGCAGATATCAAAGTAAACAGACCTAGAAATGGTTACAGATGTCTGCATGACACTTATTTACCATCCTTTACTTAGAGCCTTAATTCAATAGGTGATTGGGAATTATAAGATCCATATTATACTTTATAATCAGAAATAAAGTGAACATTGACTCCACACACTCTTACTGTAATATTGAGAACTCAATCATGTACTAGTTAAATTATGGTACATCCATATGATGGAACACTCTGGAATTGTTAAAGAAAAAGAAAGACATAGAACGATTTCCAGAATGCACCGTAAGTGAAAAAAGCAGAAACAAAAAAGAAGTTGGGGAACTACACTGGAGCTCCTCTTCTTACAGATTAGGCTTCAAAAACTGAAAGGTTTCATGTAAGTCCAAAACAATTAATAGGGGTTTAGTATTGCGTCCTCCAGATACATTTCCATCAAATAGGAAGGTGAGTCAGTCCCTCACAGCTTTCAAATCAATTAAGACACCTCTTCTTGATGTTGACTTACAATGTGAATGAGCAGCCTTTTTCCAAAGTGGACCAGTTTTGGCAAGACTTAGAAGTCTGAGGTGAAGGTTCTCTAGCCTTGATAAAGTCTATGATTATCATAGAGAACTGCTTAGAGGTTAGAGTACTCTGCTTGCTGCCTTGTCATGAACTCAACATCTGAGTATTCAAAGGGCATAGAACTGTGAAATCATCTATGATGTGTGACACACGTTTCATCTTGATTATCTTTTAAGTTCTTAAATCAAGGATGGGCAGTACAGCACATGCATCAGAACTATGGACTCCAGAGCCAAACAGCTTAGGGTCAGATTCCAGCACTACCACTTACTAGCTTCACGACTTATGGCAAGTTAACGTCTCTGTCCCTCAATTTTTTCATCTGCAAAATAAGGACATAAGAGACATAAGAGATCTCTATGGTTTGCTACTAGGAGCAAATAAGTTAATCGAAAGAGAGTACTGAGGATAGTACCTGACACATAGAAAGAGGTATATGTGCTATTATTAAATTATCATTTTCTTTCTCCTAAATTTACAGTACCTGAATAGTCATTTGATAGTAACGTGGGTTATACATACATGACACTGAGACACAAACTCAAATAATTCCATTTAATTACTAACTTTCTTTTGCTGAGGATTTCAATTGCCTGGGTGTTGTGCTTCTCAGATGTTGCATGATTCACTCCATCCTTTAGAGTAATTTCTCTTGTTGAATACCTCATTTACATATACAACTTCAGTATTTTAATATTGTTTTCACTTTTTATTTTCTCTACAGTTGTTTATATCCTAAATTTCAATACTAACTGGTTTTATATTTATTGTATATGACAGGTTAATAATGGTTTAAGACACTTTGAAATCATGCTCAGAGTAAATATACAACAGGTAAGAGGAGTGGAGGAAATTTCAGAAAGGCTCTTTAGTGTTGGGCTGGTGGGGAGGAGGAAGTGGCCATATATAAGGAGAAAGCACATGGCCAGACTGTGCAGGGGCTTTGCAAGCTGTCTATAGGGATAAATCCTTCTAGCAACTAGACATCTCTAAAGCATTTTAAGAAGAAACATAAAGAGAATGGGTTGATTTGGAAAGTGGAAAGGGAAGAGGCAGGGAAGAGTAAATATGGGAAAACCAGTTAGGAAGCTTTTTAGAATAGATGTCTTAGATTAGTGTGGTAACATAAATCCAGCTTTGCATGCACTGAGTTTGGTGTGTGTGATGTTTGTGTGAAACAGCTAAGATAACGCAATAAAACAGTTGGATTTTGAATTAAAAAAGGTTGTTGGAAAGAGTTGAGTCTTAATCACTAACACATTATAAAAATGAAAGCTATGACAATCAAACAGCATCATCTTTTTCACTGGCAGGCATTTAATAATGACAGTAAAAGTTTAGGGCAATGGGCCAGACATCCTTTTGCAACTTCAACCACGCCCCCACCCCGCCATAGAACAAAATGACCTGAACTTTTAGATTAGATATATGTATTAAATTTTCCAATAATGACCTAAAAATGAAACATTATGCCACATCATTAGTAGCATTCTGGACATTTCCCCTCAATTATGACCTTAACATAAATTGGCAAATAATTTTTTAAAAAATGTTGCCATTTGGGTCAACTAATCTTCGACAAAGCAGGAAAGAATGTCCAATGGATCAATAAATGGGTGTTGGGAAAATTGGACAGCCACATGCAGAAAAATGAAATTGGACCATTTCCTTATACCACACACGAAAATAGACTCAAAATGGATGAAGGACCTCAATGTGAGAAAGGAATCCATCAAAATCCTTGAGAACACAGGCAGCAACCTCTTCGACCTCAGCTGCAGCAACATCTTCCTAGGAACATCGCCAAAGGCAAGGGAAGCAAGGGCAAAAATGAACTATTGGGATCTCATCAAGATCAAAAGCTTTTGCACAGCAAAAGACACAGTTAACAAAACCAAAAAACAACTGACAGAATGGGAGAAGATATTTGCAAACGACATATCAGATAAAGGGCTAGTGTCCAAAATCTATAAAGAACTTAGCAAACTCAACACCCAAAAAACAAATAATCCAATCAAGAAATGGGCAGAAGACATGAACAGACATTTCTGCAAAGAAGACATCCAGATGGCCAACAGACACATGAAAAAGTGCTCCATATCACTCGGCATCAGGGAAATACAAATCAAAACCACAATGAGATATCACCTCACACCAGTCAGAATGGCTAAAATTAACAAGTCAAGAAATGACAGATG